TAAAGCACTTTATATTATTTTAGCTTTCACATCAGAAATGCTTTAAATAAGACTGCAGTGTAATTGCCGACAAAAAATAGCATAAATAGTACGCAATTGAATACATATATGTTTATATTCAAACATTACTGTATCCTGTACATGTTGGTTGCAAGCTACGAAATTTGGTATCTGTTTCATGCTGCAGAAGCACAGGAATTTTTGACAAAAATCCTTATTTTGGTGGTGGAAGAAACAGAGGCTTCCAACATTTAGATCGTTTATTTCTGGTTTATAAAGCCCGATTTTCACTTCTATACAGTGTACATGGTGAATAAATAGTAGTACATTTTCAAATGGCATGCACTAAACTGAGAATTTCGCAACTTTTTTATGTTCATGAAAATTTATATGAATAGCTAAGATATGGCAAAGGATTTTCTGATTCTTTCAGCACTAAACTTCTAACTTTCTTCTTACTCAGAGCAAAAAAGCTGTTTTGGGCATCGAGATTGAAAATGGTTGCGTATTAAAATGAAAGGTTCAAACGGATATTGCAATAATAATTAAGTTTGTCTCATTTGATAGAACGTTCCTATCTTGTTTAGTTTTTTAAATATTTTGTTTAGAAACAATGACATGTGGAATACTTCTTGATCGCAATAACCGTTGTTTTGGTGACAGTCATGCAATTTGTTATTTGAAATAGTGACCGAAGTATAATTGTCGGCTCATAATGCCCATTGCATATCCGGGTAAAATATGCTTGTTCTCAGACATGGCAGACCTGAGCCACGACTTGACATGCATCTCATGCATTCGCAAACTCGAAAAATTTAAATGTTTGTGTAATTTGAAATGTACAATATATTCAAGAGAAAATATTTGCCATTGTGAAGTCATCAGCACTTTAAATATAACTACGGCACACGGCAGCTTCCCCCACTGTCCCCGTGGTTCGATCCAGCGCTTTGGAGACAATATGTTAAAATATAGTTGAAGTGCAGAATCACAGTATTTTATAGATTGTGAGGTCAGTACTGATTTAGTTAAATAATATACTCTCCATATAAAACTTTAGTTTAACTTACTTCGTTTGGTAAATACTGAATCCCTGCAATATATTGATTTAGCTTTTCCAAGACCTATATAAATAAAATATTATTCAAATTTGTCAAATTTCTATATCCATGGCTTTTTGTAAGACTTTGTTTGTAAAATATTCGAGCAAGGCATAACATATCACTTTAGTCAAATCATGGTGAGTATAACGGACAATGGCAATGTCAAACAACAAACAACAACTGCATCCTTGGTTTGACGGCTGATTGACGCCAGCCTTATATATTTGCCACCCAAGATGGGCGTTGTGATATGCTTTGCATGCACGAAACGAATGTCGGGTATGGATGCGGATAAATAGTGACTAAATTATACATTGCTACTTTTAATATTGGGAAACTGTTCATTGTGTGTCGTCAAGAAATCGGCGCAATACTGAATCAACTATAGGTCGGGGGGCATTGAGTGAAATTTGTATATCTTCAATTTCACGAGCAATCAAAACAAACTTATTATCAGGAAAACGTTTAATTAAAATTTGCAAACAATTGCGAAGAATTAGCGTAGATTTCTAGAAAATTAATGTATTAATAAAAAATCTGGTATTCTCAACATAAGAACCTCCTTTTTCTCTACTTTTAGTTTTACACTATTCTTAATCCTGAAGATGACTACAAACTAGTCGAAACGTCGATTAAAAAACAAAATGTTATTCGGAGTTACTGTTATTTTGTATTAGCCTTTTTCTCTTTTAAGCGTCTATGAGTTCGAGATCGTTGTCAAATAATCTTGAACTAAAATCATCCACATGTATGCTTTAAACTTCCAACATCATGCGTGCCATAAAATTGTTTCCTACGGTATGAGGAATACACCTTTATGTTGAAGTTCTTGAAGTACAATTTCACAATTTGTTGCTGCATGTCGAAAGAACATTCTTGAAGGATGTTATAATGCTAAAATAAGATCTTGGAAAAATATTTTTAAGCACGGACCTCCCAGAAGGTAATACCTAATTCTGCTCATGGCAGCGAGATCTGTATACATGCAGTCCACACAACATTTGGAAAGATGTGTGCAAGATTATCATTACCTTCATAAAAACTCAGCCAAAACCTACCCTAGCAGGAATTTTATCTTCTTTGTTCACATGTGAGAAGGTTGTCGTTATTTCACGGAAGAGAGCCAGTAAAACATAACAAGAACGTGCGGATGGTTGAGCTTTTATATCCTATATAAAATACATATTGGATCGCAATTAAGAACTGCAAGAAAATAGCTACTTTCCTAACTCGAAGAAAGTCTACCGTACAGTGCAGTTAATATCCCAATGAAATTAAAGTCAGATGAATGAAAAGGTAAGGTGATTGATTGATTTGTTCTATACGATGTTCTATATCCAGTCCTAGTCCTACGAAATGGACCCTTTTGGATTCTTTTCCAACCACTAGAAGCAATAAGCTAGTTTAGAATGAATTTCCTACGCGTGGTTTGCAATACCACTATGTGTTACCAAAACTAGCAAAATTTGAAAGATGAAATAAAGTCCGGATTCCGCTGCATAAAATCCAAAAATACGAAGTCCGAATATGTCCAACTGTTGTACACCTAAGTTGCTTGAAAACAGTGATTATTTGAAGACATTTCAATAAATAAGATGCTAAATGCCAAGGTTTACTTCTCATGGCTTTGTCATAAAAAGGAATCCAGCATAATTTGTTGAATAAACAAACAGTGGATGGATGATTGTGGTCAGCTTCGAGAATGACCTTACCGTTGGAAAAGGAGGAAGATGAAGTATTTTGCTGAAGTATTTTATTGCAGAAACAGGATTGGTTTCTGATAACCATGCACAATCAACACCAACCTATATCAACGGACACGAGGTTTTGAACCCAATCTACAAAAATAACTCACTTGAATGACTACACTAAGGTCATCGATGTTAGATGTAAGTATTGCTTTGCCAAGAGCCTCTCGCACAGTGTGATAATTCTCATGATGAACTATGAAAGTGTCTGGAGTTTTATCTTGCTCCTAAAAAACAATAGTAACAGAAGCTCGATAAACTTGCTCTGCAGGTTTGGTTGGAGGGACAGTAAACAGTTCTGAGCATGAAAGAACATGGAAACATTCATTGATAATATACGTCTGATAAAATGCTTTCCGATGGGATAATTGGACATTTATACACCTATATAGGGCTGAATTAGAAGGGATTCTAATCTGCAAAATGTCATATTCGGACTTATCAATGTAAATTAATATTTGAGTTTAACATTTTTAAAGCCATGCAAAGCTATTAAAAAGTAAAACTATTTTAACAATGGTATTGCACAACAAATTTGAGAAAATGCACATTGAAACTGTCATTTTGGTAATGCCTTCAGGTATACAGATGTCATACAGACTTTCATGAACATATCGGTATAATCAGTTTCGGCAGATAATTATTTTCACTGTGACTACATGCATGACATCATATATCACTGCCTGAACAGACTATTCTATAGATAAATGCTAGATTAGTGCAAAAAACACAGGATCGTTTACGAACCTTCACAATTGATCAAACAGTGTGATCATGCAGCTGCTTATGTCTCATATGGTATTTATTAAACGAGAGCACTTGACAGGTGATCAGAACCGTTAAACACCGTTAAAGGAGTAAAAACGTTGTATTACCTCAGACTGTGGCGGCATAATCCATTTAAGTTCCTTTCTTTTACATCTTTCCTTAACAGCTTCAATCCCATTGGGGTCATGGCGAACTAACTGTTTTAATAAAAATAACTGCAAAACAGATCGACTTGAATTACTACACAGGTGTTTTGCTGTATCAAGGCACTTTTGAAGGGCTTCAAAACGCTTAACATTTTCAGCAAAGTCATCGCCTAAATACGTAGAAAGAACATCCAATGCAGCCCTTATTCCAGCGATATCTCGAAGACAATTGATAGTCAATGAGTTTTGGTGAACATGAATAGTCCGTAACGTTCTTTCCAGTTCTCTGCTTGCCATTAAGATTTGTACATTTTCGCCACCTTCCTTCGCTTTTAATAATTTCACTGTTTCCACGTCCTAGATAAAGAAATCAATATTAAAGAAAAACGCGTTTCAATGAAGTTTCATTAATAAAGCTAAATTTCATAAACCCAAAGCCAGCAAAAATTAAATTTGCAATTATCGAAGGTCGTTAATGTTGTACAAAAAAGGCAATGTACAGTAAAAGAGATGCGATATCTCACTGCAGAAACCATCTGGTTATTGTCAGTTTTATTATCTGGTATGTTCATCCTTATTTCAGAACAAACCATGCAGTAGATATTAACTGGAAAGATGAAATACACTTTAATTCGTATCTATAATTAAACCATGCATATAATTTATTTGGTTCTAATCCTTTAGAAATCCAAACATTATAATATTAAACATGGAAATAGATTTAATATCTTTTAGTTAAATTAAGCAGGTTCTTTGAAAAACAACTTAAGGATGACTATCGCAACTGCCCCATAACTCATATAATTATGAGATATTGATGCATTAATTTATACAGAGTTACAAGATAGTCCATGCACTGTTGAATAAAACTGCCAGTCATTCAACTAACTTTCCTTTTTGATAGTGTAAAAAATTGTGATTGGCATTGACGCGCAAATTAAAAGTTTGCGGTGAATGTCCAAAAAACAATTTAGCAGGTTTGAGACTGGGTTTGGGGTTAGGGAAAGGGTTGCAGTGGCATCGCTTTATTTTACAAAAATTGAAATTGGCCGGTTGCCACCTACAGTATCGATCTAGTCACTTCGTAATTTAAACCATTTACTATAAGATAATGAGCTAGTGATTTAATCAGATTAGAATGCTTTCTTCTATTAATGCTCGTAAAAGCTTTTCTACACAAAATGGCTACAGAAAAGATCTATGATTATGACTGCGATTTACAGTTGCATGCAAGCATGTATAGAATGTGTGCACCAATTATTGGTGATCATGCAAGTGTATTTAACAATTATACCATGGATGAGCTCAAGTCGTATACGTGAGCTCATAACAGGCGAAGTGCGTAGCACCGAGTTACCTATTAGCTATATACGACGAGAGCAAATAGTATAATTGTTTTATATAATATAGTCTTGTTATTTGATACTCTCTAGCTTTGTTGTAATATTTTTACAGTTGGTTCAACCACATTCCGTGTCACAAGTTGGCGTGAAAATATAAATGTTTTCGTTTAACTTGTGTTATTGTTTTAAACTTAAAGTGAAATCAATGGTTTTAGAACAGTATTGGCTACAGAAAACATTGAAATATTTTATGTTGGTGTTTTGTAGTAAAGTAAGTGCTTGTTGACTGCAAATTTATTTGTTTTTCGTTGCAAATTTTCCCAAACAATTAATATTCCCATGTCCATGAGTTTTTCGATGTGATTCTACCCCTTTTAAAGCGATTATTTTTTGTTTTCTGGTTCTTCTCAAAACTCTTGTAGTTTTTGCGCCATCATCTTGTTGCTGCTCGCTGTATATGAGCTGATGGGCGAATGACTATATTATATTTATTTCTTTACGTAAAAAAGTATATAATTTAGGTTATCTGGATATATACCTCCATACACTGTACACACAATACACAAACTTCAATCAAATGTTCTCTTTGTTCTGCTAAACCCCTGGCACGATGAAGGTATTCTTCTAAATGTTTGTATACTTCCTTTTCTCTGGAAAAATAGGTTTGAAATATTTGGATTATTAACTTTAAAAAAGGTGTACTAAAAAAGTCGCAACGCGCCTTTGGCTTCGAGTGGTAACCCGGGGCTGGGATACTAATTCCGCTCGGCCACATGTATGTCAACCCTGGAAAAAGAAGAGGTGGCAGTTCAAAAGTTAATAAATGATCGTTGATGCATGGCTATTGTTCATGTCACTAATGTCAAAAATTCTAAGACATTCAAGAGTGATTTGACTTTAGAGTGGAATGGGCGAGATTTAAAAGAGTGAGGGAGTGAAGCAATTTTTAAATTTTAATTTGCATAAAAATAATAACAATGAAGACTCATACGACGAGAAATGTTAAGATGAAAGGCATTAAGTAAAGGCACAAAATAAACAAGGCACTGTAATTTGTTTTACTGTTTATCTTTAGCATTTATTGCTTAACACCGTTTATCATTTTATTTCCATGTAGGTGTATTAAATTTTCTTAAATTGAAGACTTTTTTCATGATTTGGCCTGCCTAATTGAGTTATCAAGCGCGGGGGAAGTTCGGGAAAGACGAAAAAGTGTAAGAGTTGGTCGCGACGCTGGCCGAGATATTTGTATATTTGGATTTTTGTTTTAATTATTGCCTGCTGGATGATTTGTGTTGAAAATATGTCTGGCAACTGCAGGGTGTATAAAAAATGCACATGTCCGCAAAACTGCAAATTCTACAAAATTTGTGAAACCTCTATGCAAGCATGGGTACTTTGGAGTCGGCCTGTATCTTTACGAGTAAAAGTATTTTGAAAAGTTATTTTACGAGTGCAGGAGGGTTAAAACGCAATTTGAATTCATAGGGTTCAAATTTGGAAGGCGGTTTATGAATTATCGAAGTACCAGACAGTTTGATGTACACTGAGTCCAAAGCGCGGCGCCTTTAAAATTATACGTGAAAGGCTAGTATGACAAAAAATCCAAGTTTTAGAGGTCGCGCGTTGGACCTAAGTATATAAAATTGTCTGGTACTTTGATAATTGATGAAACACCTTCTAAATTTGCACCCTATGAATTCAAATTGCATTTTAAGCCTTCCATTTTTAGAGTGTTTTTTTAAAACGATCGTCCTGCATCCGAAAATTAACTTTTCAAAATAATTTTAGTGGTAAAGATATACTAGCAGACTATCCATTTTCTTGCATATAGGCTACGTTATCAAAAATTTTGCCGAATTTCCAGTTTAGCGGACAAGTGTGCAGTAGTTTGGTTTAAAAATGAGGGAGTCCCTGCTTGCATGTATTTTTCTAGTAATATGAGGTTACCAAGGATAGCATCACATATAGGAACCACGCACAGCGCAGGCACGACTCACGCTCAAGGCAATGGATATAGAGTTACAACTGGGTAGTATACTCTAAGACATTTACACTGAAGAGAAAGTTTTGGATTCGTAACGAGTTCGGAGTGTTTTCAGATCGGATTCGTTTTGCACTAATGAAGGCATGAATCCAACACAACATGATTACAGATAGAGAATAAACCGGAATTTTCGAATCCACAAAGACTGTGGAAACTATATATGAAAAAAATATGAATCGTGAATGGCGCAAAAGTTTTTGTGTAAAAGCTTTCGGCAAAGAATCCGAATAAATTTTCTCTCGCCTATGTTTTTCAAATTATATATAGTTATTAAATTGAACAGCCAAACTGGGTCCAAACATCGCATGATAACAATAACAATAACAGTGTTAAAATTATAATTAATGCCTGCATTGACAATCGCTGTGTCCTGACACAGCGATTGTCTTTACTGTAAACGCCTCACAAGTTCTGATTAATTTGAAAACAAGTAATCCAGATACTCATACAAATCTGGAAACTTTGCTTTAATGTAAACATATAATCTAATAGAAAAAAATATAAGCTAATTGGAATCCATAATTCGCTAAATATGTTTGCACCTTACTATCCTCAAGGATACGGTATATTGAGAACTTATGTTAATTAGTAATATGTCATATTTAACACATCTACAGTATAGCAATTCAGCCAACAACTGCATGCTAACAACATACCTCTCCTTTATTACTAGAAGTTGCTGTAAAATGTAAGATCTGATAACAGGTGTGACATCAATTCCTTGTCCATCAAAAGGTGTAAAATCTTCAGTTCTATTTTCATCCTTGATCACGTAGCCAATAAATTTTCGAACTAGATCTGGATTTGGCAACTGCTCTCCAAAGCAATACACAGACACAAGCTCCATAAAAAACGACTTGCAGCGGTTACGAAAACTGTTGTAGGTCTCAAGAGCATGTCTTCGAAAGAAAATTTAAAACCTAATGTTAGCCTACCAAAATCTAGAAATTTTTCATGCAATCCGCATTAAGAATGTTATTTAAAACGTTGTAGGCTATATAGTTTTCAAAATATGCACTTATCATATCTTTTTCCATATTTGGTCTGCGCTTTTATTTCTGGTACAGCTTAATTTCAAAGTGCACATGATACGAAATCTCCCTCCCCCCCTATTTTTATGGCAACAAATGAAAATGGAAGAAAGTGATTCAATGAAATATTAAATTAAATTTGGTACAGTTGGTAAGTGCACCTATACGCAAACATTTTGGAATGTTTATGCGGTTATCATACAACACAGTAGTTACCAGGTAAAAGGAATTTTTATGATTTGCATTTATTATTTTTCACTTGTAGGTGCCATGGTGAATATGAATTATTCCAGAAAACGAAACTTTTGTTCCAAAGTGTCTACAGCACACATTAAAATAAGAGAGAGAGACCTGATAACTAGTGTGCTTCTATGAAAACCACATACGCCCGTATTCTAAGAGCTCACTCACACTCAATGAGTGGAGGTTCAATCTGAGCTTCTCTCGAGTGTCAATGCTGTTTTTGAATAGGAGTTTGGCTGTGAATAAATTATTAAGGCCATTCTTCAGATATTTAGATATGATGCAATGGGGAGTTCGTGTCATGTGCACTTTAAAGTGCTACTGCAGCGAATTTTTGGACCTACTTTTTTTTAGCTTAAATAAAAATTCAGTCATTTAGAAGCATTTTCATATATGTTTGACCATCATGCGATGCTTAGAAGTTGCCAAATTTAACCTCGGAAGTTGGTTATCGCGTGCGAACTTTTCCGCCGCCATATTGATGCCGTGTGACGTCATAAGATGAACGGAAACGAAGATATGAAGGTCGTATTTGTAGTAAATTATATGGCGCGTCAACATATTGCAGTGGAATTTTTGTCTATTTCACTTGTTTATGGCGCAGATAACTGATTTTTAAAAATCAAAGAACAAGTGCTATATCTTGTTTATTTGACGGCGGAATGACGGTTAGAGACTCAGATAATAGGGTCAGTACGACATCTGGAAGTCAACGAGTATGGACTCGGCTAAATCGGCTTTGAAATACGATGATGAACCATCATGAACCAGTTGCCTAACAGCTTTTATACAGCTTCATTAGACGAAGTGATAGAGACATTATATAACGCCGCTGCAGATATAGGCAACTACCATCTGTGACTATGTTGGAGCAATCAAGCGATGGTACAATACCTATAAAATTAGTGGTAAGTAGATCCTTTTTATTGCATGTATATTGTATTGTATTGCGCTCGCCTCGGTATTGTGTCTGATTGTTTGAACACATCTGGTGTGTGCAACTTAATATTTATTATAAACTGGATTGTGCGCGACAAAAAATATAATAACGTTTATAAACACAAGCATATTTATAGCCTAATAATTCGCAATACTCAAAATGATTTTGATTTTCTTTTCAATAGATAGCGATAGGTGTAATTGTCAATTATGGGCTGTGGTTCTATTCATGGCTAGTTTTACTTGGATGGGAAAACAGAAGAAAATAATTTCCAACAACAAAGACACAGCTGCCTTACGTTTGAGCAGAAAAGCGGTCGACTTTAGCGTTGGATTAGGCAGATTGTGACTGAGTCAGTTAACCATTGAATCAAAATTGGGCCACTGTGCAATATCACATTTACTATAATATTTTGAAAGTATATTAATCTTCATCCCTCTCATGTTTTGTGCACAAATATATTTCTCATATAATAGCGTACCAGTACAATATTATACTATTGTATTATTATATTTATTGTTACTTTATACTATGCAATATGTATTATTGATATGACTGAATATAACTCCAATGGCATCGTTTCTCTCAAATTGTCATCAGACGTCTTGACGAAACTACGTCAAGGCATGCTGAATTGTTGTCTTTATTTCAATCTCAAGATGCTCTGGACAAGAAACTAACTTAACAGGAGACAGTCTTTTTACAACCACAATTGATCTAAAACATAAGAAATGTTAAACACTTTAGACTAACTATATAGCATCATTTGCGCAAAATATTCACCATGTGTGCGAACATATTAATTTGTACTTCACTATATACCTGAATTATTTGCCTTGCGTCTGTTAGTTGTACTTTAGCGGGGAACAATTCTAGCCATGTAAATTGTATAAACAGTTTCTTCCTTCAGTATTCTTTCCATTTTACGAGGTTTTGTCAATGAAAATAAGATATAGCACGAATCTTCAAAACGGGCTCAATCAAAACACTATAGGTTCGCCGTTCGCAGATGCGTGAAAACCCGCGGTCAATGTTTACGGATAAAATTCACTAACTTTCTTTCACTCTGTGGATCTGTTTCTTTGTTGGGAAATAGATGCATGGGTATTCCTTCAGGCTGTTCAGAATTGTGCAATAATCTAAGTTAGAACTGCCAGAAACATGGCCTTCGTCTCCGCGTTTGTTGGTTTTACCATAATTTTAATACGCCATGATGAAATCGTGTTCATCTTATGACGTCACATGGCATCAACATGGCCGATCAAAAGTTCGCACAGGAAGTGCCAAAAATAGCCACTTTGGAAGGCTATAAAATCGGTTTGAATTCACCAATTTCAAATCTGTTTGTGGTAAACAGGTCAGGAAGAAAAGCACTTTTAATCAAGCTAAAAAAATTAGGGTCGAAAAATTCGCTGCAGTAGCACTTTAAATTAACCCAAAACCACAATAAAAATATGTCGAACCACAAAAACTGAAATCATGTTCAACGCAAATTATAAGTTAAAAATGAATACCATGACAGTTAATCGTTGTCGTGCGTGTAAGCCAACCGCACTAGATGTACCGTACAGGCGGGGGTTCGGGGTGTGACAGCCAGTCAACAGTAGAGCGTCAAGGGTTTTAGCCCTAGGAATGCGTAGGATTCGATGTGTCAATGGTATGCAGGGAAGCTACCGTTTTTCCCCAGTTAGTGCAAAGGCGATTTACAGCCTGGCCAGATAGCACGCATGCGGATGTGCCCAGCACATACATGATAGTTACTGATTGCATTAGAAAAACAATAAAGATAAAATCAAGTAATCCACTTTACCTGCATTTTTCACTGATTTTAACTTTGAAGTTGCCACCAACTTCTTTCCTGCATATGGGACATACGTTATGTTCCTGAAACCAACCATTTGCGCAAGACATACAGCATATATGCTCGCATGGCATTTGAACAGGGTCTTGAAGAGGACTCTTGCAAATCTCACACTGACTAGTGTCAAATCTAAAAAAGCATATCAAAAGTTTTGGTCAAGCCTTTCTTCATCTTTAACATAAGAACCTACGCTACACTGAAAACAGTCTTTGATGGAAACTTTTTCTAATTATTATGTGATGCCGAATTTGTTCTTCTTAACTATAGTTTGTTATATTATGAGGCATTGTGTTTTATCACACTCTCACACTGACTGATGTCAAATCTAAAAAAGCGTATCAAAAGTTTTGGTGAAGCCCTTCCTCAGCTTAGCATAAGAACCTACGCTACACTCAAAATATGTGATACCAAATTTGTTCTTTTGAGTATTTAACAGCTACCTGATTAAGCGTTCCCTCATTCCATCGCTGCAACTCTTCAAGAATCTCTCAATTACCGTCATAGTATGAACAGTTGAAAAGTCAGTATTTTCTCTTAAAGCCTGCAAAATTAAATAAAATCTTGTAGGCATGCACATTATACAATATTTTAAGAACTTTTGTTGTAGAAATCTCAACAGGTGCCAATTGGGTCAACCTGGCCAGATAGTTAAAAAAAACATGCCCTCAACTGTTGAATTTAACCTATATACGTATCTGCCACAATAGGTCTGGTACCGCATAATTTTCATGAGCTATGGGGTAATTGCTGAGATTGACGTCAGTGTACAGGATAACGTGGCTCCCAGGGAAATTCTGAAAAAGATATGCATGCTGAAGTCTTATCTAACAATGATGAATGTACACATTTATGCAAACGCAATTTTAACTTGAATAACTTGTGTATAATCTGTAATTAAGTGCGTGCGTCACTTATTCTGCGCATTGTCTGGAATTTTAATGGCTTTTTCTAACATCGAAATGTATTATATTATTTTTTCAGTGTTGTGCAAGTTTTGTGCATGCAACAATTTCAATAGTTCACTCATTCATTTCTACGAAACATACAGTAACATTTTCTTCTGTGTTAACGCAGTTATAATAGTTTTACTCTAGTGTTTCCAAAACAAAGAGAAAAGTATTAGGTTTTACCTTTGACAGTAGAAAAGCGTTCTTTGCATCTGCTGGATGGGTTGACTGTCCAGGTGGACATGTATGTTCAATAAACATGCGTACAACATCTAGACGAATCCACGTGGTTCTATAAAGAGAAATACGTTCCTGTATCATGCAGGTTTTGCAAAATTGAAACGTTTACATGGTTAGTGGTTTCATTTAACAATCACATGAAATCAAACATTTATCTCGTAGGAATAAGCAATGTCAGTTTAAGTCGGAAAATGCTTAACCTAATGCTTATAGATGATAGGAGTACAGTATGTCACTCGACAAAAGATACAATTTTATACATCTGCTGTGCTATAACGTTTGAACAAACATACATTCGCAAGGCGTCAGATAACTCGCGACCCTTAGCAATGCAATTATGCAAAGGCTTCGTAATTTATTTTAATTAGTCAACAGCCATGATCTATTAGAAGGTAGATGCACAAATGACGTCATTTCCCTGACCTAGTACTATTGCGGCGTGTATATTGAGATATTCTATCCATGAACAAATAGATATTAATTCTGAGGTCGGGAATCTTCGAGTTAAGCCCTTCGAGTTAAGCCCCTCGAGTTAAGCCCTTTTCGAGTTTTCGAGTCAAGCCCCGACCACGCCCTGTTCTGCCAAGACCACGTCCTTTTTCAAAAAGGGCTTAACTCGAAGAACGAAACACGATTTGGGTTATTCGAGTTAAGCCCCAGGGCTTAACTCGAAGTTTGACAAAAAAGTTGTTGCCCGAGTTAAGCCCCGACTTTTGAAGTATGTCAACGAGTGCAATATTAAATTGTCAAATTTTCAATACAAAAAAGCCATGGCAAGCACAGAAATTTTCCCCAAAAGAACTTATATATCGCTAATGTAATACGATTATCAAAAACAAACACAACTATTATCGTATTTTATTTTTAGGTATATTTTAGGTTTTTCATATTAAATTAATATTAAATTTAACAACAGGTAATTACTTTAAGTGAATTGTTTATCCACAACAATATTTTAATTATAAAATAGATAGAATCCTAGCTCGTTCCTTTTGCTTCAAAGTGCACAATATCGACAAATTAACAGTTTTACTGTAACAGAAAAGGTACAACCTTCTCCCATCACCTTGAACAAAACTAATCGATCTGTTAAGAAAATGATCGAATTAAATGACAGCATGTAAAAATTAAAGAAAAAGGGAGGAAAGGGAAGCAATTTCGGTATAGAATGATCTGTCTTTGACAACTTGCGCCCAGAGACTCGCACCTCATACGCACATGTACAGTAATTTTATTAGCCAAATGGGCAAATGGTTACGAATCACGAATTGTTTCATTTGGGTAAACAAATTATCACGGGGGAAAATTGTTACATTTGAGTAAAATACCCAAATGTAACAATTTATCCCCCTAATAATGGCGCTACGTCGCCATTTCATTTATAAAATTACTAATCGCTCAGCAAATATTCCCATATTTGCTGAGCGATTAGTAATTTTATAAATGAAATGGCGACGTAGCGCCATTATTACGGGGATAAATTGTTACATTTGGGTATTTTACTCGTGATTCATAACCATTCATTTGGCTAATAAAATGGGACTAGCTAACAGTCGTGGGTCGTGGGTCGTGGGTAGAATGTCGTGGGTAAAATGTCGTGGGTAAAAAGTCGTGGGTCGTGGGTAAAAAGTTGTGGGTCCCGAATAAGAAGTCGTGGGTCCTGAGAAAGTCGTGGGTTGCAAGCAAAATATTTCCATAAATTTACCTTTCTCCCTTTGGAATGCGTGTTTTTTTTCTTCTGAGTTTTTCCCAAACTATGTCCAAATATGCATAGTCTTAGAGCGCGTTAAGGCCGGGTTTTTGATATCGGCAGATCTGTTTATATAAATATTATAACCAAGTGTGGATGAAACAGTTCAATTTCACGCCCCATATAGCTCAAATATTTGGACGTTATAATCTTATAGACAGATAACTATTGTAATTCTTCAATAGGAAATACTTCAGGGCTTCACTAATTTGTTGATTGATGTTCTTAAAGTAATATTAAAGCGAGAAATTTTCACTTGGACGTCACAGTGTTAATGTAATGCAATCTCTGTTAATTTACTAGGGAAAAATAAAAAAGCATTTGAGAGATTTCACTTAAATAACATATTTAGTATCTAACCATGTTGCAGTAGTGAATCCTAGTGTCAAATTTATTATGTGCTTTGGATTTTCTAATGTCAAACATAAGTTACAAATATACAGTCACATACAGTATTTGTAACATTCATGCTTTGACTTATCTTTCAGTAGGCTTTTGTCTGATTATTTTACCGTATGTTTGATAACAGAGAGGTATACTTCTATATATTGCTTGAGCATCAAGTTTCAGCGAAGTCAATGGCAAGTTAGAATTTGGAAATTTCATGGCGCTCATTTAATAACAGTCCGAGAATTGTTTACATGCAAGGTTTGTTCCGTTTGTAGTTTGCGATATTTCAGAAACCAAAATATCTCCCTATTTCCCTACAATTCCACATCTCAGTGTTAAATAAATCGTTTAGGATAGACATCGGAGATATATTTTCTTGTAATGTTTACGACGATGTCGGTAATATCAACAACAAAATTACCGATATGGATATCGATGCATCACTATTTTGCAGACCGGCGATCTTCTTTGTATAGTACATGAAGACCATATATAAGTCAAATGTCATATTATTTCATTAAATGGTTAACTATACTCCGCAGTTCCATATATAGCTCTGAAAACATATTATGCCATTGCCGGTTATAAAAATTTGACTATATCTAGTGGATAGCAATATTCAGCTTTCGTACATGTGGCCCTTGAGCTACATTCCTATTGAAGAATTACAGTAATTAATTTATCTGTCTGTAAGATTATAAAGTCCAAATATTTGAGCTATATGGGGCGTGAAGTTGAACTGTTTCATCCACACTCGATTATAATATTTATAAACCGATCTGCGGATATCAAAAACCCAGCCTTAACGCGCTCTAAGACTATGTATATTTGGGAAGGCCTCAGAAGAAAAAAAAAACACGCATTCCAAAGGGAGAAAAATAAATATATAGAAATATTTTGCTCGGAACGCACGGCATTTTCTCAGGACCCACGACTTCTTATTCGGGACCCACGACTTTTTTCTCGGGACCCACGCCTTTTTACCCACGACCCACGCCTTTTTACCCACGACCCACGCCTTTTTACCCACGACCCACGCCTTTTTACCCACGACCCACGCCTTTTTACCCACGACCCACGCCTTTTTACCCACGACCCACGCCTTTTTACCCACGACCCACGCCTTTTTACCCACGACCCACGACATTCTACCCACGACCCACGACATTCTACCCACGACCCACGACTGTTAGCTAGTCCCAATAAAATTACTGTACATATGCGTATGAGGCGTGAGTCTCTGGGCGCAAGTTGTCAAAGACAGATCATTCTATACCGAAATTCCTTCCCTTTCCTCTCTTTTTCTTTAGTTATTACGTGCTGTCAATTTCGATCATTTTCTTAATAGATTAGTTTTGTTCTAGGTGATGGGAAAGGTTGTACCTTTTTTGTTACAGTAAAACTGTTAATTTGTCGATATTGTGCATATTCAAACAAAAGGAACGAGTTAGGATTCTATTTACTTTATAATTAAAATATTGTTATGTTGTTTTGTTGTGGATAAATGATCAACTAAAAGTAATTACCTGTTGAGTGTTGTTAAATTTAATATTAATTTTAATATGAAAAACTTAAAATATTGTTAACGATAATAGTTGTGATTGTTTTAGATAATCGTATTACATTAGTGATATACAAGTTCTTTTTGGGAAAATTTCTGTGCTTTGCCTTTGGCTTTTTTGTATTGAAAATTTAACAATTTAATATTGCACTCGTTGACATACTTCAAAAGTCGGGGCTTAACTCGAGCAACAACTTTTTTGTCAAACTTCGAGTTAAGCCCCGGGGCTTAACTCGAATGACCCAAATCGTGTTTCGTTCTTCGAGTTAAGCCCTTTTGGAAAAAGGGCGTGGTCATAGCAAAACAGGGCGTGGTCGGGGCTTAACTCGAAAAGGGCTTAACTCGAGGGGCTTAACTCGAGGGGCTTAACTCGAAGATTCCCGACCTCATTAATTCTAGGTGTATATCAGATGTAGTTTCCTGTCTTCTCTTTGGCAGACTTGCAAAAAATCTTCTGCTTGGATTTATAACTATAATTGCAGTAGTGTGGACAAATTGGCTCTCATCGGTTTAGATCTCTGAAAGTAGATCATGCAATGCATGGCCTAGGATCATCATGTACTATATGTTGTCGCTCGCCACTATGCTCTTAAAGTAAATTAATTCAAAGCTGAGTCGAAATTCATTCACGATCCAACCGTTCAAAACTCCAGTCCAGTGTCTTCGTCAGGGGTGGGTCCATTATATTCATGAAAACCTTTTTGTATTACAGGACATACATTAATAGGGGTTTATGGTGAATAGTTGTGTACCATTAGGTATTCAAAAACAAATGACCACTCCAGAAACAGCGATGTGACACGGAGGGGCCGTTTGTATGATGGCCGGATAGGATAAGTACACACCTGCAGTTTTGTAAATAACGAGTAGATCTTTCTCCAAAAAGTTGTGCGTTAAACCTGGCCTCACTGTCACCTTTTGCTATCTGTTGCGACGGTCTTGGAATCAAACTTTTCATAACTTGTATGATAGGACGAATGCATTGAACTCGGTTACACCAAACCAATCTATTGTCAGCGTTTCCCAGATCTCTAGGTTTTGGTTCCAATTGCTGCAAGCAACACTCAAGTGCTACCACATCCAGAATCTAAAAGTATTGCAAGTGAACAATGAAATAAGCAAAAAATGTATTAAAGCGTCAGAATCATGAAGTGAATTTCTGACTTAGGCCGTCTTACAATTAAGAATGGTAAAATGTCAAAATAGATGAAATGCGTTTCAAACCTACGATAGGGATAACATGGTCTTGCGATGTTTGCGCATTTTAGATATATTTTTATATCGCAGAAGCAAGTATTTGCCAACCTGGTAGGATAATAGCTTCCGCAAAAAAATAGCTTCCGCAAAAAAATAGCTTCCGCAATATAAAAGTATACAGGTGGATTAGATTTGGTTTCCTGCACTTCACTTGGTGAATTAATATTAGAATTAGTATTAGAATTAATATTAGAAGGTTAGGGTTTGTAATCTAATCAAATGGATTAGAAACCCTAACATTCTAATATAAAAGTATACAGCATATATCTTCGCAACACAAAGACACGGACACTGATCTAAGGTTTATTTCGTACAAGTTTTAATACACTTTTATTCTATTATTTGGCTGTTAAAATAGTCGTTGTTCCCTTTTGTCCTTCGATTTTCGATCGTATGATTAAAACAAACAACACGTGACCAAAATTAACATAATTTATTATTGGCATGACAAAATTACTGGATGCTGATTGGTTGAGAGGAGTACAATTATTTCATTAACTGTACTGCAGTACAATTAATGATTTTCCCAAAACAAACAAAATGGCGGAAAGGTATTTTAAACACAAACGTGAACTGAAATTGCCCCAGAGGAACTAGATGAAAATATTAACAAAAGCACCAAATTTTGCTTTAACAAAAGAACTAAATGAAAATACGAACAAAAGCACAAAGTTTTGGTTGAAAGTCTGGCAGGACTGGGCTTTGGCGAGAGAATATGATGTTGACATCGAGAAATATCCAATTTTGTCATGCTAATAATAAAAAAGTAATCATGCGCTGTTGCTCGTACAATTAGGGATTAATAGTACTCGTGATGTTTGGAAATTTGCCAAATTGGACTCGCCCTCGCCCCTTTGGCAAAATTTCCAAACATCACTCGTACTATTAATCCCTAATTGTACTCGCCATCGCATGATTACCAATACTAAATATCAAATAATTAGCAGGCATTATGCAGTTCTATTAAAGTGTCAAAACAGCATATCAAAATTTTGCATGTAAAGGCATATTATCCTTATTTTACAATATTTTGCCTTTAAACTTTGCAATTTTACTAATTCTGATGCAATAGAGCCGCGTGTAAGAAATGTTCAGCCAAACTTTGTTAATTCTTGCTTTGCCAGATTGGTCCACTGTGTGCATGCAGACTTACTTAATAATATAATTGCGCTAATTTTGTCATAGTCATATATATGATTGGTTTGTTTTCTTTCATTTTTTAGGTGACGCGAACAAATATGTTGTTTATAATGTACGATTACTGGCAGGCCATTTTTCATGTTTTTAATATGCAATGTTCCAAATAGAAATTTTATTAGTTGACGGTGCATCTGAGGATGAAAGCAGGACTTATATTCATTTATGCAATGTTCTTTCATCAAAATCCAAGTTCAGATTGGTTACGTTAGTGAATATATGCTAATGCGACCTAAAGTGACATATAAAGCAACTTATGTATGCAGATTATTTGTTATGATATGGCGAAAATCAAATTATTGCTTGCCTCGGCAAATTCCATTCCCAGGCCAGTATTATAGGTGCACAGAAAGCGAGTATCTAGCCAGAGCATAACTATATAAGCAAATTTATACCCTATATAAATTTAAGTTAATGACACAAGGTGTGATGGTAAGATGAAGAAGATATGGTTTATATCAACCTAATCTCTGACAGTTAGGTCAAAGATCGTGACAGATAGTTCTCAAATTCAGTAATAATTCATGAGCAATTCAGCCAATGATAATCACCTATTTGATCACAAGATGCCATTTGGATACTTGATGAAAGTCACTAGTGTTTTCATCAAATATCTTAATTACGCATGCAAAATTACTTGCATCGAATTCCTAATTACGTTATGATTGGTTAAGAATTCTATTCAAATCAGCAAACGAAAACATTCTGTTACGTCTCGATTCATTTGAGATTTGGATATCCCGGTGAGACACAAGCTCGAGTTGTTTATATATTACGTCAAAGATCATCTTCTGCCAGCTAGCACACATTCACGTCAACAAACCAATTGAAAACCTCGTACGACTCTGTTCATCCTAATTGGCACATAACATGCACGAGTTCATGCAAAATAACGTAATTTATTCTGAGCTGTCGACAGAGTAACATCCACCTCTCCTTACCTTCACTGGGTGTAAAATTAATAAAAAAAAATCAGTTACAGTTTTAATTAATAATTAATGTTTATAATATTAGGGAATGCAGTAATAACATTCTTATGTCTACAATATACCTGTTCTCATGGAAAGATATAGATAGACATGTATTGGGATATATAATTCAGTAGATGATTATGTACAAAGGGATGCTGTTATTGCCAACCGATCTCAAGGACATTATTCTGGAACAGTTAAAAGTACAAGGAAGCACATTCAAGTGCAAAAGTCACAAACATTGTAGGTAGACTAGCGTAGGGGTTTTGGGCTCCGATTGGTCAGGGTAAGGACTGTCCAAGTGAATCTTGGTCAGATTATTAGTATGCAGCCAGTTCAGAAAGTGTGCAGCTAATAGGGTGTGGCATATGAGTAGGGATGATGCTTGTCATAACACAAATGGACTCTTCACAACCCAGAACCCCTCTCCTCCAAAAATAAAAATTGTGTTTTACGGCATGGCTGCATGTTTATGCATCCAAGTGCACAATCTGTTATGTGGGTTTCACTAAGTGTTATACATGCATGGGGAAACTAACTTTACATGCATGTGGTGAAGAGTTATTATACCTACATTGGTAACCTGTCATAGTGATATGGGCGACTACATTACGGTAAATTTCGTGCATTTTTCGTTTTGATAGATGAAATATTTCCACTTCATTGTACATTGCCCTATTCATGTAGAGAATATTGTGACTTATAGCTGATTGCTGATCGAGGTCTGCAAAACATCAACGAATAAACTGTATACATGCATGGAGTCATTTAATCACACTTCTTTCTATATCTGAGAAAAGCGTGGGGAACCCATCTTCTATTCGAATCTTGCAACGAGAAATATTTGCGGATATGAGTATAACTATTCGCTACGATCGATCGAGCTACAAGTTTGAAAGACCCGCTTTAATTAACATGATGCACAAAAGACATGCATGTATCGACATTCAATTTATTCGGGATTTAGTCTCGTTCAGTCACAACCAATAACAACCAAGTATATATTGCCTAAGCATGCAAATTCAAAAGCGGCAACCAGAAGGAATCAGCGATTTTGCTTAATATGCTTACAGTACGTCTCGATAATGATATTAATGAGGCTATATATAAGTCCGCTTTCGGCCCGATGCTTAAAACTAAAAACTATGAATCCAAGTACTGAAAATGGATTTAAATGAGTAACAAAATATATAGCAAAAGCTTCATGGTTTATAACTCTAACTTAAGAATACGTTGGCTCTCCATGAAAATTGCGATAAATTCACGGTGTAACAGGTGTCTTTAAAATGTTAGATGTTTGGGATTTAGTATTGTTTTAGAAAGACCAAAAAATTGTACCTTTTTTGAGTCAGGGGCCAGACTTGAAACATGCATATAGACCAAGTATGAAATTTTGTAATTTTTATACAGGTATAATCACGCACTCTTAAAAATAGGTGTGCTAAACAACACACCTTGGTGTGTTATTGAACACACAAGGTGTGCTAAAATAGCACACAAGATGTGTTTTCTTGTCACTGAACACACAAAGGTGTGCTACAAAATACACCAAGGTGTGCTACAAAACACATCAAGGTGTGCTGAGCAGAACACAGTGTACGCAAAAGGTGTGTTCTGTAACACACCTTTAGCTAACACACCTTTCGAGTAAGGGTAAGGTGTGCTCAATTAACACATCTTTGAAAGATAGCACACCTTTGGAAGATAACACACCTTTTAAAATAGCACACCTTTCTCCAATAACACACCTTTTTCTACTAACACATCTTTTTTTGTGCCCCAAAATAGCACACCTTTTTTCAATAACACACCTTAAAATAGCACACCTTTCACGCTGTTAAATTAAGCACATCTTTTGGTGAAAGGTGTGCTTTTGTAACACACCTTCAAAAAAGATTTGCTAGTTAAGCACGCCTTTGGAACAAACACACCTTTTCAAGTTACACATTTTTCATAAAGGCACAGAAATATCCCATGCAAAGATCTCTAACCTATATTCCAATCTACAGTATTTATTTATTCAAATACTGTAGAATTAGGGCGGTATTTGCTATACAAATTCGTATGGTGAATGAGCTGCAATTTCGTGTAAAATCATCACAAGATTTAGCTGCTTGATGCGCTTTTTCATTCGTATGTTGCCAAGTCAGGTTGCTGTATATTACCAGTATATCGGGTTCTTATTGTTGAATCGCAAACGCGGCTATCGAATGTAGCGAGAAATTGTCAGCGAGTTTTTCTCGTCAAATTAATCCATATACTTTATTTGCTAAAGGTGTGTTACAGCAGTACACCTTAAAGGTGTGTTACAGCAACACACCAAGGCGTGCTAACAAACACACCAAGGTGTGCTAACAAACACACCTTTTCTCAAAACACACCTAAAGGTGTGTTGTTTTCTGGACAAGCCAATAACACACCTAAAGGAGTGCTACTGTAACACACCTTAAGGTGTGTTGTTTTCTGGACATAAAAGGTGTTTTGCTTTAGCACACTTTCTTTTAAGAGTGCGTCGCAGCATACACTAGTATTGAAAACGTCCATTATCCATGCAAAGAATATAAGTCACATCACCAATAGCTACACCGAATAAACAGAAATTAATACAATTAAAAAAACAATTTCGTTACTGTTTTACTATGATGGGTACTAACCATTTCACCAACATCCAATTGATCACGTTTTCTCAATATTGTTTGAACCAGATTAGGAAAAGCATGAACAAGTTCAGAAAAGTTTACCAAACGAGCTTGGATTAAGGAGTAGGTAAAATGAATTAAAGGAATATCCATTTCAACGTCATCGTTTTCATACAGCGACTGATGTAGTTTTCCCGCAGCTGCAACCACAGCATCGCATATCAACTGCGGAAGAGCAAATAAACTGGGGATTAGACATTTGCAAGTAATTTAAATTTGAGTAAATTGGTTGCCTTATTTAAAGGCAACCGGTGAATCAGCAGGCATTTCTGGCGTAATTATCGAAAGAGTGTATTTTTTTCTGACCAATTGTGAGCGAATAGCATTCAGTTTTGATTCATGATAGAGAGAGGTTCAAAAACAAAAAAATTATTTGTGACGTTATTGTCGAAAGGGCGTGTGTCGAAAATGGAAGAAATAATAGATATAAAATGCGCACTCAGCACTTTTCTCAGCGAAAAATTTGTTTGTCTCCACAAAATGGCGGATTTATAAGGCCAGTTTGGCCCATCCCAATCCCATGTGGAAAAGGATTTCGCGCGGATACATGCGGAGAGTCCGAATTGTTTTTTTAACAAAGCTTGCAAAAAATATTTAACCAAAACAATCGTTTTAAACAGCACAAAAGACCAAGACAAACTCAATTTTCAATATATAGGTATGTTTTATCTAGTACATAGAGTTCCATAATATATATGCATAATAGAGTTATATGTGTATATATATATACACTATGTTGAGTTATTGTTCACTTGGTAATACGATTAGGAGAAAATGTTCTCGAGTAAGATACATCATATTTCCGGACAGGCAAGTAGAAACCTCTGCCCGCCGCGGCTAGGTTTCGAACCTGCGACCTTCGAATTACTACATTGATGCTCTACCAACTGAACTATATATATATCAATCCACCGTAAAAGCACTTTAGTCTGATGATCGCCTTTGTGCGTGAAACTCGAGTAACTTTTATCATAAATAGGTTTAGGTTTTATTAAATTATCTTCAGATATCATGTCTTAGTCTACACCAATAATAGTTTTGCTCTGCAAAATCTTACCTGCATTGAGCACTCTTCAGATACGTGTCAGCATCGACAAACAAGACATATATATATATATATATATATATATATATATATATATATATATATATATATATATATATATATATATATATATATATATATATATATATAGTTCAGTTGGTAGAGCATCAATGTAGTAATTCGAAGGTCGCATTATATAACCATTCGAGCAAGTGTTGCTCGATTTTATAACTATTGTTCGATTTATAACTATTGAATCCTGACAATGAAAACCATAGAAACAGGTTTTAAAATAGCATCGAGCAGCTGGCGTTTCTACAGAACTATTCGGTGATTTTATAATTAAATTAGAAACATCGTAATACATTGTTCTATATGATGAATTTACAAGTTCTTAATTAGAAAGATTGTGAATCACAATACTCATGTGATGATTGTGAAATCATTGCAAAATCAATGCCCAGCATTTATAATTGCAAATAAAAGAGTCGGTGACTTGAAAATCGAAATCTGCATGTGTCCTTGCATGGTATTAAATGACCTGCAGGCCTACATGGTGCATGGGGGTATTTTCCGCACATTCATGAGCACATGTTCGTAATATTCACGTTCGGCGTATCATGTACCAAACAGATATATAGAACTAGCTAGCTAATTTCGAAATATTTATTTTAAACGTCGTTTTTTTTATTTTTCAGAAAGTAAAGCCTTCAACCAAGCTCGTGAAAACGTTCATCACTTCCTAGGCTAGAACCCAGCAACTATACAGGGTGTACAAAAAAAAATACACAGCTGCAAAAAGATGCGCGCGACATTTGCGAAAACTTTCAGTACGCCTACGTATTTTAACGTTCTCTGGTACATCTAGGCTAAAGTTATTTTTAATGCTAGTGTTTTTAAAGTAGGAAAGCCTTTACTAACCACCCCCCCCCCAAAAAAGAAGGACTTGCGCAAAAAATGTTTCATCAGAAACAAAATTTAATCACACAGAGTCCAAATATGGACTGTCTTGCACAAGCTATCAGTTTCAAGAAATTTGGTGCACGCGTACGCCAACGCGAGATCTTCAAAACCTGGATTTTCTCCCATTTTGTTAGTTCAAAAATTAACGCGATTTCTTTGCATGATTTCCAATTAATTTTATGCGTGCTCGGACGTTTGCATAAATAAAAATATTTCCTACGGAAATATGTTGTTTTATGTCAAGCCTAAATTATACTGATAAGCTAAAACTAGCCTAGGAAATAGTTAGATTGGATTGTGGCAGATTAAGGCGGGACTTGGCGGAGAAGGAAATTCCGGTGATTTTACCTACGTATAAGAGACATATAAAGCTCCTCCCGCTGGCATGCCGCTTTGTATTTTTGTATTTTAGTTTGTTGTCTTTTCTTGTACATACCATTATTATACCTTTTTGCCAAGTTGGCGTGTAGGCTTGCCACTTTTACTGGCAATAAACATTAACTGACTCAGATTATTAACTCAAATTATTAATTCTAATGATTTTATGATATTTCTATAATTTTACGAGATTTTAATCCCACGTCGAGCGTTTTGTTTTGCAATATCCTGCTCGGGTTCGATATATATATATATATATATATATATATATATATATATATATATATATATATATATATATATATATATATATATATATATATATATATATATATATATATCGAACCCGAGCAGGAATTCGATTTCCAAGCGATTAACAAATCAGCATTTGGCTCTTAAAAACAGAGAATCAGCTTACGGACTGGCGCGGTCTATTCGTGGGATCTGTGGGATTTTCACGCGACAGAAACAACAAGACTGTCATAACATATTTATGGCTCTCAGGGCGTTTTCAACAAAATTTTATTCTGTCGATTGCACACTCTGTATAATATAAATGATGCACCGACGTGGAAAATAAAATTATACATTTTGAGCTAGCTAAATCATTAATTAGTTTTAACGCGTTCTTCCCGACTCACGCTGCTAACCTTCAGACGAAGGCCTTTTGCCCGAAGCTTATTTTTCAGGCATAGTTGCATCATGCACACAAGTCGACAGTTTCCATTCTTTGCTACATAGGTACCTGTAATTCACCCTCCACTATAGGTTTGTACATCATATGTAGGAAATCATTCAAGTAGTTCATTGCTGCTTCTCCTTTAATATTTTTATCCTCAAATGTAGGCTTTAATAATTGCCCAAGTGGTGATGAGTAAAAAACACTTCTTAATGAGATTATTGTCTTGGAAGGATCGGCTATAAATGATAAAAGAAATAAAATTAAAAAGTCTCACGCCACACAAGTTTTGCATGCTATGCAGCAACGTATTTATAGCTAGTTTGGTGCCGCCATTTCAAGCAAGTGCCTTTAACCACTGACTCCTCACCATTGTGATTGTGGGTTCGATTGTCACTATGGACTCAGGACACTTAGTGAAAAGTGTAGACTTTGCATACCAAATGTGCTTTCGCGCGTTCTGATTACAGGTTGACCAGTAAATCTGACGCAATATTTACTAGCAGACTGAAATAATGCTTTTCAAAAATGATTTGGAACATTTTGGTTTCAAAATCGACGAAATATTGAAAAAATGGTCCCCAGAAAACGAAAGCATAAAATTTTGTGTTTAACCTGAAAGGTAGGAATCTTTATTATTTTACTGTGTAAAACATATTCATGGACAGTTTAAAACTTACTTAAAACTCCGAAACATTTCACTTCAAACAAATAGCAAAACCTATCCCGACTCTTGGGAAAATCCTTGCCGTGATATATTCTTTTATCAAAACCATTTTGTTTTGTATCCTATAGATATCTCAATTTGTACGGCAGTTTTTCTTTTCATATACTAGCCTATGCTTTCATTGCATGTGCTGTATTGTGTTTTCGAACTTTATTTTACAAATTTTCTCAGCCATTTCCTGGACAAATTAAAGCTAAACAGAAACTATTTTTAACTATAAGTCTGATGAAAAAGTCATTCGATCATTGTGTTTTATATTTTAAGCAGAGATTCATCGAGAAAAACAACTTTGTAATAAAGTAATAAAGGAAGCCATTTTGAAAGCGTACAGTAACCCTAAACTGGCCGAAAACAGTTTTTAATTAAAACGGATTTTAATTAAACTGATATTTGGTTTTATTCGTTAAAAATTTATACAGGCTCAGAGATTACGGTGAATATTCACCTCGACTTCGTCTCGGTGAATATTCACCGGTAATCAATTCGCCTTAGGCAAATAATTGTTAATTGTTACACGTTTCACTTCAGCTATCCCTATATAGGACGATTGCTTCATACGAAAATAAAATGAGCTCAATCACTGTGATCGTGCACAAATTAACATAAACTCAGAAAAAACATAACACAATGATACAAAAGAAGAAGTAAACTCGCATGAGTATTTGTGAAAAACCTATTGCCACAGGCACGGTTATATTTTTTCATGCAAATCAATAACAATTGAGTCCTCTTATGATTTTTGGCCTCTTGATTTCTTTCATATTAGTGTCAAATAAAAAAAATAAAACTTTCCTTCCATGGTTGTCAACATTTATCCTTTCACGGAATAAGCTATATATTGGTGTTAAATACCTTTTTCGCTCCTGGATAAACACGATCGGTACGTTAATGTGTAGAAATTTCATGTTATTTAAAACATATCTGTCTACGCTCTCGTGGAAATTGTCACAGGCTTTCCCTTTTCAAAATTTCAAATTTCATTCAAATTTCAACAAAGACATTAATTTTTCCTCTCTAATCAACAAGGCTCAAAAACCGATAAAATCGGTATCATATTCCCTTTATATGAATACCTGAAATGTCTGATATCGAACATCTGTATTGCAAAATATACCTACCTCCAACTTGCAGCAAAAGAACGTTGACTGTATCTTTAATAATCCATGAAAACGGAAATTTCGCACTAAAACGATGTCCAACTCCAGTACTCGAAACACGAGCTCTTTCTCTTACTCTACCGGATACAGGAGAAGTAAAAGAATCATAACTTAGAGGCGTAATTACTTCTTCATTGATCATTGTTAGCCACAATCTCGTTTTCCATTCCTTTTCTTCCCGTAGCAAATCGAGGTTGTGATTTTGATCACAGTATGCAATCACTTCAGATAACATTGGAGAAACAATCGAGGAAAGTTTCTGCCATAACGCTTTTCTGAATGTTCCAGTTTCCTGAAGATGTCCTTGACGCAGAGCTTCATGTCGTAGCCATAGTCTTTGATTCTCAGGACATTTATCGTCTCGTTGCTGGAGTAATTTGTGAACGCGGGTGGCAAGAATTTTGGAAAACTCTAAAAATAAATATTAAAACTGTAATTTAGTTGCTGTCCAGTTTGATTTTGGTTTTAATGTTATAAAAGCACTTTCACTTTAAGCTATACGGATCAGCTAATTTTAAACAAACTCAGATACCAACAAAATATTAAAGCAACCAAGGAGCAAAAACCCGGTAAACACCTAACAAAACAATTCCTATATATAACCTGTTTCCAAATCAACGTACAACGAACAACAAACCAAAAATAACCAAATTTACTATATAACAATTTACCAAGGCACCCAGAGGCATACAATGCAAGTATGTGGGGGTATACTTAGCTTGCCTAAGCATGTTATTAACAGGTTTTCAGGACGTGACATCAATACAGGGACGTGTCCTCTCTATATGATACGGTAGTAAGAAACTGACTGTAGTTACTGTACAAATACGAATACATGGTTCGAGCGTTTTCCATCTAAATTTTTCCATCTAAAATTTGACGCCGTTATTTTATCGAAATCTCCTTTATGACCTTCTTAAATTAAAACTAACCTTATTCAATAGAGTGACAATTTTCTTACACGTGATCAGTAACATTCGAACGTTATTACGTCTTCAGGGATGGGTTTACTGGGGGGGGGGGGGGTGCACTGGGGGGATTCGAATTTCCTTATCAAATTTTTTTTAGTATTTAGAAAGGCAATTACAAAAAAGATAATAGTATGATTGTGAAATGCAAGAGTACAGACTGGTGTCTGAACCACGACCAAAGCTCGATAAGCATCCTCTAGCAAATCTGGCTGGAACTATATCCCTGTACGTCTTTATAAACTATATATAACCATAACAGTTATATATAATATAACCGATTTACAAACCTGTTTCTTGTGAATTATCTTCGGGCAACCATTTCAGCAATATTTCAATACGTTTTGTGGCTCTGTCGACTTCAGCTGACTCATCATAAATTCTTGCTGCTGCAGCTTGTAAACAGTTTTTCAACAATAATGTCGGTTTAATTTTTTGCTGATCAATTTCTTTTTCATCAAAATCCTAAAATTAGGTAGATTGGTAATATACGAAGGGAACAGAGATGAGGTGAACAACTTAAGTCGATATGGTGAGCATAAAACGCAGAAATTGTTGGTCATCTTATACAGTTACTTCTAGTTTACGCTTTAGATACAGTACATAATACGCGAGCCTTAGATATAGCTAAATTTTTTACTTGTTTATCTTTCTGTACCTAGTAAAAATTGGACACATAGACATTACAGACATAAATAAATATGTTATAAAAACGTTTCTACCTTTGTTTAGGATATTTCGCCTTGGACGTTGGTATTTTTAACACTTTGTTGAATTCTGGATTTCCATAATTTTTCAACAATTTAGTGATCGTATTTTTTATTGGTTAACCAGTACGTATTTTAATAAACACAAAATCATGGACACGCTATACCTCATTTTCATTTTGATATCAATGTTTGGACTATCCCAAATATGTAGCCACCATGCATGAGGAACCTACATTTACTTGCGAAAAGTTTGAACACAAGCCCAAAAAGTTAATGTTTCTGGGAATTTATTCCCATTCTTTCCGAACAACAATCGTTAGTTCAGCAGATGTCCTTACTTCCGGGATTGGTTGCGTATTTCTTGTGAACCATCTATACATTCTCCATTTGGTTGAGTTCAGAACATTTTGCTGCCCCCTCAAAGCTTGTTGCATGATTTCTGTTTCCTCGTGTTAGCACATTTCCCTAATCGAATCGTCTGATAAAATCCTATTCAAGCATTTGTGATGTTTGCCGTCACCTATCGGCAAGGAATACTTTTGTGCAGCAATCATAAAGGTGCAAGCACAAAGTCCTAAACTCAACCGAATGGAGAATTTGTACAGATGGTTGACAAGATCAGAAGGCAATTAATAAGCAAATGAAACCCTCGAGCATGCAAGGACACTTGCTGAACTAGCGATTGTTGTTCGGATGAGAAAAATTCCCAGAAAAATTGTTAAGATCTTGGTTTATAATCTTGCCCAATCGAGCAAAGTAGATCCCAAAAGTACAGGGATTTGCAACATTCTTTTAAATATTATCCGATACATGTTGTTTAAAACCAACCTCGTTCCCAGGGCTTTTCCCTTTTTGTCATTGGGAAGGCGGGAAAAGGCCCTGGGATCGGCTGGTCGGTTCTGGCTTCTGATTGGTAAGATGCATTTTTAAATTTATGCATAACTTTCGCAAATTTCTATATAAATTATTTCAAAATTGTGTTAATAAACGGCTGAACTCACGGAAAACAAACAGATGCCAACCAAAATTTCGGCAAGAAATCCTGTTTGTAGGCTTTGTTGCGAATCTAAAGAAGGCCGGCATGTAATCAAAATATTTAGTAAAACTGGATTAAGTCAAGAACTTTGTCAGAAAGTGGAACTTTCATGTGGAATAAGTGTGACTGAGAACGATACGAAGTCGAAGGTATTATGTAGATCACGTCTTTACCGTCCAAAAGGTACTCCAAGCACTTTACTTGAAGTGGCTTTAAATTTAAAGATGTGAAGTTGGCGATATTCAGTGCAATTCCTATTTGCCGTAACACGTAAAACTTGTCCACTACACGTAGCGCCGCAATATTGAAAATTAAAATACCCACAAAATGTGGGTATTTTGAGGTCACGTGACCAGCCGATCCCAGGGCCTTTTCCCGCCTTCCCAATGACAAAAAGAGAAAAGCCCTTGGTTTAAAACAGCTTAAATGAAACCATGCTAACCAGTTATTAAACTAAAAGCATAGTTGAACATGTAACAACTTATTGGAGGTCTGTAATGGAATTTTGGAAAATATTGAAGTTTTTAGGCCTGCTTGCATTCAAACTTCTGGCAAGTAACTGTATATGTATATATGGTAAATACATGAAAAGCATCCTGACGATGAGTAACTATTTAGTCCAAACGTTGATATTAAAATAACAATTATAATAACTTTAGCGGGCATTGTAATGTATAGTGTCAGTGACAAAGTGAATTAAAGTTTATCCGCGTAGTTGGCTTGTCTTTAACAAACGAAACCAGCTTTTTTATATCAAACATCACTTCATAAATTGTATGAACTATTTTTCATTCTTCTTTTTTTCTTTTGAGAACCGGTTGTTTTTGGCCTTAGTCAAAAACATATTTATGGGTCTGAATCAGGCCAAAAACACATTTATGCCCGCGAACATCAACTCTATTGTTATATTAAACTGTTTGGTCCATTGTTTTGTACTAAATACGACATTTTTCTTTCTTTTACCTCTCTGCTCTCCACATTTAGTTCTTGGCTACCACTTAGTATACTAGTATCAAGATCAACATCCATGTCTTCAATAACATCACCTCTTGCAGGGTAGGCTGGCTGAAACAGATCACTTACTGAGCGATCTACCAACTGTTCAATCTGGGGAAGCTGCTCGTTCGATTCAAGAAGCTCGTCAATATGAACTGACTGCCACTTTCCACCTTGAAATCCTACAAAATGTTGACATCCCCCAGCAATCTTTGGTAATTGAATGATAAAGATGATGTGGATAGGTTTCACATGATCGTCAATGTCTTCTAGTGTACGACGACGGGTCTCATCAACAAGATATCGACAACAAGCAATTAGGTTGAAGTTCGCCTCACCATTATCACATTGAACAAGCAGAAGTCCTTCAGCACCACCAAGTGCAACAAAGAATTCTCTACATGAAAGTGAAGAAGGTAAAAATAAATTAGTATAGGTAATCATGCGGTGGAGAGTACATCTAGGGATTAATAGTACGAGTGATGTTTGGAAATTTTTGCCAAAATTGGACGTGCCGCCGGGGCCATCACTCGTACTATTAATCCCTAATTGTACGAGCAACATCTCCAGTCAGATGACTAAAATAATCATAGGCATAGTCTACTGTTGACAAGCGTAAGGAACAGTGCATTTACCTATTCTGGGCAACTGGCATGCACACGCTCAAAACCTTAAATCCTATAGCCAAGACCCTAATTGTTTCGCCATATGTATAACATTAACTTCACTTACACTAATTTCTTGATGAATTGCTGCTCTGTATGAAATTCCTGAAGGCTAATACAACGAGACTGTGAACCTTTAAACCCAGCGGCTGACGCTATGGCCCGAGAATTTGCTTGTGATAACAATCGAGAATGTGTGGTAATCTGCAGAAGAAAGTTTTATAATTAATAACAATGTCATGACTTTGTGCATTTGAAAATATGAAAACACTGCCACTTTACATAAGAGTGACCGCGCACGTGGTGCAACATCATATCCTGCTTCAATTATTAAAACAGTAACCCGTGCCAGTTAACCTTGCAATTATATAACCCCAACTCAACAGGCGATTGCTTTCTTGTGTGCTGAACAGTGGCTCAAAAGTCTTTCAACGATAGCTGAATAACTGTGTACACAAAGCTGTAACAATAATATTTTAACCATGAAAGCATTAGTCCCTGAGTCAACAGCATGAAGCGTCGTTACGGGCGTAAGCCCGGGGCGAGGGTACTAATTCCGATTATTATATATCAATAGTCAAAGTCGCATTTTTCTAGTGTTTTATTGGTTGAGAGCATATCACGTGAGAGTGACGAAATTAGGCTGTCTCCCTCGCAACAGCGCGAGAGGGAGACAATACGTTATCCACCGGCGAATAACAAAAAAAATCACGTGCGTCATCAGGTGAAGGTGCGACCTTTGGACATGCCTAGTACGTAATTAAAACTTTCGCTTTAAGTAACTGCAGTGTAGCCAGTGTTTAATATAACGTTTTAACAATAAAATATTTCATGTATTTACGTTCATTTGTTCTTTAATTTGTTGTTTCTTTGACTATTGATATATAATAAAACACTTATTTACTGAGACCTCGGGAAAGCAGTGTGTTTTGTGGACCCTCGACCGTCGATGTTTCCCTCGGCTTCGCCTCGGAAACATCGACGGTCGAGGGTCCACAAAACACACTGTTTCCCTCGGTGTCAGTAAATAAGTGATAATTATATAATCATACCTGGGAGTATTCCGACGCTGGCAATTTGGACCGATATTTTTCAAACAGAAAATGCATTTGATTCATTCTATATGCTTGATTTTAGGTACACATACGTCAACATGGCTTATCAAAGAGTATTTCGAGGTTTTCGGATCTGTACACATTATACAATCCATAGTTTCATGCCAATGGACGACAGTTTTGATACAAAAACGTCCATAGTTTCATAACAAATGGACAACAGTTTAAATTTAAATACACCTGAAAAAGTCCATAGTTTCACGACAAATGGACAACCGTTTCAATACACAGAAAGTCCACATACAACCCTAGTTAATATCTCACAACATAATAGTTTGAATATAGAAAAAGTTCATAGTTTCATGACAAATGGGCGACAACTAAATTAATTACACAAAATTAAACTATATAAAATAGATGCATGAAACTAAACTAAACAGAATACACATATCTCCAGAGTTACATGGTTACATACACAGCAATTTAATACACAGCGACATCCAAGGCTGCAATGCAGAAAATGGCAAATATACAACACTTTTAGCATACAGAAATCGTATCGTATTTGTATTGTATTGTATTGTATTGTATTGTATTGTATTGTATTGTATTGTATTGTATTGTATTGTATTGTATTGTATTGCGCTGTGGTTGCTTTTTTCCCATCAGTGATGGTATTCCCAGGTGCAACGTTATTCAGGTGTTTCCAAGTGCAATGATGGTAAAGGGGTTTTGAAGGGGTACGTGCGCAGATGATACTAGATGTTTGCAGGCCGGTGCAATGATGTTTATGGTGCGCGCGCAGGTGTACCAGGTTCAATGATGTTTGCGGTGCGCGCATGTGATGATACCAGGTTCAATTATGTTTGCGGTGCGCGCATGTGATGATACCAGGTTCAATTATGTTTGCGGTGCGCGCAGGTGATACCAGGTTCAATTATGTTTGCGGTGCACGCAGGTGATACCAGGTTCAATGATGTTTGCAGTTCGCGCAGGTGATACCAGGTTCAATTATGTTTGCGGTCCGCGCAGGTGATACTAGGTTTAATGATGTTTGCAGTTCGCGCAGGTGATACCAGATTCAATTATGTTTGCGGTGCGCGCAGGTGATACCAGGTTCAATTATGTTTGCGGTGCGCGCAGGTGATACCAGGTTCAATGATGTTTGCGGTGTGCGCAGGTGATACCATTCAATGATGTTTGTAGTTCGCGCGGCTGATACCAGGTTCAATGATGTTTGCGGTGCGCGCAGGTGATACCAGGTTTGATGATGTTTGCGGTGCGCGCAGGTGATACCAGGTTTGATGATGTTTGCGGTGCGCGCAGGTGATACCAGGTTTGATGATGTTTGCGGTGCGCGCAGGTGATACCAGGTTTGATGATGTTTGCGGTGCGCGCAGGTGATACCAGGTTCACTTATGTTTGCGGTGCGCGCAGGTGATACCAGGTTCGATTATGTTTGCGGTGCGCGCAGGTGATACCAGGTTCAATTATGTTTGCGGTGCGCGCAGGTGATACCAGGTTTGATGATGTTTGCGGTGCGCGCAGGTGATACCAGGTTCAATTATGTTTGCGGTGCGCGCAGGTGATACCAGGTTCAATGATGTTTGCGGTGCGCGCAGGTGATACCAGGTTCGATTATGTTTGCGGTGCGCGCAGGTGATACCAGGTTCAATTATGTTTGCGGTGCGCGCAGGTGATACCAGGTTCAATTATGTTTGCGGTGCGCGCAGGTGATACCAGGTTTGATGATGTTTGCGGTGCGCGCAGGTGATACCAGGTCCAATTATGTTTGCGGTGCGCGCAGGTGATACCAGGTTCAATGATGTTTGCTGTGTGCGCATGTGATACCAGGTTCAATTATGTTTGCAGTGCGCGCAGGTGATACCAGGTTTAATGGTGTTTGCGGTTCGCGCAGGTGATACTAGGTTCAATGATGTTTATGGCCCGCGCAGGTGATACCAGGTCAGTTAATGGTGCGCTCGCAGGTGTGATCAGGTGCAACAACTGTTGCGGGTTGTGCAGAAGTTTCTTGCCTCGATAATCCATGCTACATTTCCTGGTTGGATGTTTTTAGAGATCTGTTTTCTTTAATTTGAGTTTCCTTAGTTTGGTATTGTGGGTGCAGGTAGTGCAGCTTTGTATGTTGTTTGTGAGTATTGTGTATGTTGTAAGTATTGTGTATTAAGTTATACTGTGGTTGTGAGTATTTTGTTACATTGTATTGTGTTACATTACCAGCATGAATGTCTCTACAATCAGTACATAATTTTTTGCAACAAACAGCAACAATTATTAGCATAGCCACGCATACATTGCAACTCCAATAGATTTAATATAATTAAACACAAAAATAAATAACTATGAAATAAGTAATATGATAGGTATAATTTCTGTATAATAAATTATGTCTATAGTTGCGTGCAAGCAATAAAAACTAGCAGAAAATAATATCACTGATACACAATTATGTAGCATAGAAACAGGGTTGTAGGTAGAGCTTTCAGACGGCCTAGAGGTTCAAGCACACAATTTTATAAACATTTACTGAGATATTTAAAACATTTTCGTGATTTCGCCAAAAATGTGTACAGAGGAAAATCTCTAAAACATACTCCAGACGAGACTAGCATTAAATGAAAACGTGAAATGTGATGCTCAAACTCAAAATGTGGAAAAAGTTTGAACAATGATATCTTACACAACAATTTTCTCCTGTGGCTGCAAAACATGGATTAAGTAAAACATATTATTAAAATTAAAGTGGAATGGAAACGTTGAACAGATTTGAACAGATTTATATTATAATGGATAACGTGGAGAAAATTTAGTTGGATTTGCAGACTCTCATAACTGAAGATAACAGTTTGGGAAAACAGATCGACGCTGATTTAAAAGTATACTAGCAAGGAAATGAAAATTAAATTAAACATTGTCAAGTGGAATGGAAACTTCAATTAAACAGATTTAAACAGAATTATTGCATCATAGTGGATATAAATGGTACATGGCAAGATTTGAAATATTTAACTATTGTGTAGACGCCTGAAAAGGAACGTTATGGACATCGATACTTTCCGTTTAGCAACCGAGGAATTTTTAGATCGAATTGTACACTCTCAATAAGGAAAAATCTTTTGAAAAAAGATCGAAGCTAATTTATAAAATGTACTGCCAAGGATAAGAGAAATGGAACATTGCCAATTGTATGGAACGCTATTTTATTAAATACTGCATTTAAGAAATTACAGGATTCCTATCGATGCTACTGTGGATGATGGATAATTGTTGGCACACACGAAACGGTGATACATTTCAGCATTGAGCATTTATCGATCATATTGAACTTCCATGTCGTCCCGAAAAGACGAATTTGTAAAGGATGTTACGGAAATATCAAAACGGAAAAACTGCATGTACATCCATTTGAATGGAACATGGGAGAGCGGACGGTGATAGCTTTTTAACATTGTACATCAAGTTATCGACTTTGTTCAACTTCATTGAGTTAAACCTTGAACTTTGTAAAGGATGCTACGGAAATGGCAAAACGGGAAAACTGTGAATACATTTCGATGGAAAATGGGACACTTGAGGATCATAATATCTAAAATGGAATATTGTCGATTTTGTGGAAATTTATGGATCTAAACGTTGAACGTCGGCTGAAGTTGTCCTTCGGTTTACAGATGCTTGATGACTAACAAGATGACGACAACGGTTACACAAAGGTTACAACAATTTTTTACTATAGTATAGAATCCTGGTGGTCAACGACTCAGCATTAACAGGTAGCGTGTTTAAAACACTTATCATGCCTTACACACGTGTTTTATACATAGCTTCCTGCTAATGATTAAAATTAAACTTGAATAACTGTTGATCTTGATTTCGCAAAACTTTCATAAAAAAGTAATTCAAATATGATCAATTCAAAGCATATTCAATATTTTGACTTTTGATGAACAATGTTAAAAAGCAGTTATTTCGTTTTAATTTGATAACGTAAAACTAACTTCACATTAATATTTGCAGGTTTGCATGTTGCATGATTGCATGTTGCATGATTGCATGATTGCATGATCGCATGTTGCATGTTGCATGATTGCATGTTGCATGATTGCATGTTGCATGATCGCATGATTGCATGATCGCATGATTGCATGTTGCATGATCGCATGATTGCATGATCGCATGTTGCATGTTTGCATGATTGCATGTTTGCATGATCGCATGTTGCATATTGCATGTTGCATGATTGCATGTTGCATGATTGCATATTGCATGTTGCATGTTGCGTGTTGCATGAGTGCATGTTGCATGATTGCATGTTGCATGATCGCATGTTGCATGATCGCATGTTGCATGATCGCATGTTGCATGATTGCATGTTGCATGATTGCATGACTGCATGTTGCATGATTGGAAGGCTTGGATGGGGTTCCCAAAATTCGGTGTCGGCTATCGGGCAATCAGTCGCGCGCATTCACTGGTTGCATTCGAAGAAACTGAAGGAAATAGAGCATTCCTTATTTCCTAAGGTTCCCTTCGATAAGATCACCAGGATTAGCGATCAGGTTGAAAGAAATAAGCATGGGTTTCTTTCAACTTCGTCGTATAGTTTTTGAATAGTTTATTTATAATAGTAAAGTAGCGTAATACTTAGACCTATAATAATTATTTTATAGTTGTCGTAAATTAATATACGTAGTTATGCTCTAGTTTATAGTTTAATTAAGACATCCATGCATAATATATGTGCATGTTGAGCGCGACTGTCGTCATTGTCTTGAAGCGAGCAACAAAAAAAAAGCAAAAATGCGTTCGGAATATTAAAACGTGCACAATATGGCGATTTTCGAAGGCAATATGGCGAATGATAAATATAAAATCCGCTATCCACGCGCATATCCTCTTACTGTTTCAATAAACAGTTCACATGACTTGTTGTACCGTTTGAAAATATATATCCTTTTTAATAATAAATCAAATTTCATGGTTTTCTACCTCTAGAAATTGGCATACTTATTTCCGTTTAGCAAAGTTTTGAACCATGCAAACCTAAAAAAACTAGTTGAAAGTATAGCTACTGTATCGAAATTGTCATGAAAATATACCTTAAACTAATTGAAGCCACAAACAGAGAACTGTACGAATTTGACTTATTGTTAATGAGGATATATAATGTCTGTTAGAGATTAAGATCATGTTGTACTCGCCATTTTTAGTGAATTGGAATCACGCATGCCATCGAGAAAAAATTACTATTCTCACAAAAACAAATTGTTTTACTTGGCCAATATTTTTAATGACATTAAAAAAACTGAGAATTGCTGTAAATGATAAGTTGCTTTAAAATTTCCTTGGTATAACATGGTCAAAGTTAAATCTCCAACAGACAGAAAAATTAAATATACCGGTCTCAACTCCCAATGCGCGCGCATTGTGTCCAAGCCTGGGTGGGATAATAATGGTTAGTGCATGCGTTTGTTACATCCTGGTGGTATAATGTAAGCTGAATAACTGCTCACTAAATAGAACAAGAATGAAACTATACAACAAGATTTAAACAAAACTCTGCTTGGTTAAAATAAAAAAGTCAACAATCTTGCATTAACACCCCAAAGGCAAGCTTCATATTGTTCAAAACAGAAAGAAAAGACACAATCATAAAATAACAATTTCGGTAAACAATGCATAGACATTATTAATGAACACTTAATTAACATGGCATATTCATTTGATCTTTCCAAAGAGATTATGAAACCCAACGCAGTGATCATACTATTTGCAAGCAATTTCATGAAACATACAATAGTAAAAGCAAAATTAATTATTCTTATCCACGATACAAAATATTTCAGTTATTCAGCTTCAGTTTCACAAACTATAGCGTAGAAGGAAGATAGTCTTAGCAACTTCAGACAGTGTTATAAATGTAAACGGTGCAAATGGTACCTAGGTACACGTGTGTTGGACACAGAAGGACTGGTGGACTTCCTTTCTTGGTGACGTATGGGCCGGGTGGGGGCCCCAACCCTTAGGTCCCCATTCGGTCGGGTACTAACATTGCTTTGCAGGTGTCGACTACGACAGTTCATCGTTCACGGTGTGGTTATTGATTGTGCTAGCTTAGTGTAGATCAGGATTTGAAAAGGTGCACTGGAGATAACTGAGGGAAATAAGACTTTTTCTTATTTTCTAATGTTTCTTCAGATGAACCAGTCTTGTATACCACCAGTGACTAGGATTTAAATATAGTAATTAATTAATGCACACGATACACACAAATAAGTTGTCAAAAAAGCAGCAGCGACAGCAAGTGATGAAAGCAAAGCGAAAAAATATTGTGCGAAGCGAGTAAAAATGAGCGAAAACCGCAAATGCATCCGATGTCTTGTATAAATGTATTTCGATAAAGACACAGATTACCCATACAGCTTACCTGTATAAATGTATTTCGATAAAGACACAGATTATCCATACAGCTCACCTGAGCTGGTCTGATCAACCTCGTTCCCAGGGCTTTTCCCTGACAAAAAGGGAAAAGCCCTGAGAACGAGGTTGCTGGTCTAATGTCTGAGGGTTTTTCTCCGGGTTCTCCGGTTTCCCTCAATTGTGATAAACATGAATTTCTCATGTTTTGATATTTCGAATTATACACCCTTAATTTATACGTGATTGATGATATTAATATTTGAAAACATTGGTTTAAATTTCGGTTTAAAGGGTGTATAAGGTCAGTTGGAGTACTCTCCAAAGACCAAAAACAAAAAAAAGGTGGCCATGTTTGGGACCAGGCATGTCTTTTGAATGGTTATCAGGTTAGATTCCTGGTCCACTCGAAGACGAAGACAAGGAAAGTATAAAGTATGAAATTCATTCAATTCATAAATTTGGCACGGTTTTGTTCATTGATTGAGGTTTGCCATAATAACCTTAGTCTATTAGACCTCCAGAAGAAACACGAATGAAATAAACCAAAACTGCATTATATGCGCTGACCCATCCCGAGCTTAGAACGATTATCTGCCGATCTCGTACCGAGAGAAATATAATTTGGAACATGGCGTCGATTTGTTTACAAACATGGAATTTACTTTTTTTCGTTATTTTCATTTTATTTTGTAAAGTTGTAAATAGTGAAGAAGATTATTATAATATACTAGGACTAAGTAGAAATGCTAACAATGAAGAAATCAGGCGTGCATATAGACGATTAGCTAGAGAATGGTATGTAAATTTTAGCAGAAAATTTTGTTTAATATATAAAAGATCTTTGAATTATACCTACAAAGAGCATATCGAACTTTCTAACTAAATTTGTACAGAGTAGAAATATTACTTCTAAACTGTTCTTCTTAAATATCCAGTATGATAACCCCTTATTGGGCCAGTGTTAGTAGGGGAGGAACTGCACTAAATACCTGGTAAAAACCTGCATGTATTACATTAAACTTTGGTAGAGTTCAACTGGAGGCATTTTTAAAGTAATTTTACGTAGTATAAAACATGGAAGTGCAAGGTACATGTTGTAACTTCTCACTGCCTTCAACAGCCCCAGCAACATGTACTTGGAAATTAGGATAAATATTTCATTAATTTTCAGTTCTTTGTAAACATGTTTTAATTCTTTATTTGTGGGGAAACTTGATATGATATATTACAATCAGAAAAAGCTAGATTGGCCAATCACATTTTTTAATACTACCCTAGGCATCCTGACAAAAATACCAAGTCTGATGCACAAGAGACATTCATCAAAATCAACAAAGCATATGAGGTAACCTTTGTAATGATCACACCTTTCAACTCTCTTGATTGGGAGTGTCCCAATTCACATAGGTTTCTCTCCTAATTTAAATCTGAAGGCCTCTCTGAGAATGTTTTTATAAAGAAGATATTAATACTTGTGAAAAGTTCAGTAATTCTGAAAAACTTCAATTATTCTTAGAAACTTGAATAATTCTGAGAAACTTCAATAATTCTGAAAAACTTCAACTACTTTTCAGACTTTATCTGACTCCAAGAAGAGAAATGACTATGACAGATATGGAGAATCTGGGCCATCAAAGTACCATGAGCAACAATTTCAATTTTTCTATGATAATGAGTTTATGTTTTTCAATGGAATGCCTCACCAAAGTAGACGTGACGATTTTCTAACACTCAACTTTTATAAGAAAACCATTTTGCCAGGAAGCTATAAGAAGTTCTATTTACTTCAGATTGTATCTGATTGGTGTATGAATTGTGAGTATAAATTCTTATACTAACTTAATTTCATAAAAAAAATTCATCATTGTCGGAGAAAGGGGAGTGCTACTCTTCAATTTTACAGTACAGTTTTACTCGAACCGACCTGACCACGTAGATCAGTTGGCAGAGCATTGGGCTGGTATTCCAAAGGTCGTAGGTTTGATTCCCACCATGGCCATGCATATTTTTTCAAGCTTGCCCGGTGTGGATATACACTCAGAGTAACGTCACAAACATCATATTCACCTGAGTACATAACACCAACACAGAAAAAATCATATTACTAGATTACATTGGTATCAAAGGAATTAGATTCTGTTCCGAAATATCACTTACTCGAACCGTCCTGACCGCGTAGCTCAGTTGGCAGAGCATTGGGCTAGTATTCCAAAGGTCGTAGGTTAGATTTCTACCGTGGCCGGGAATATTTTTCAAGCTTGCCTGGTGTGGATATACACTCAGAGTAACATCACAAGCATCAATTTTAGAGTAATTATTATAATAATTTCTCTATATGGGCATCAACACACGTATTATTTGACTTCATCACACTTGAACTCCCTTAGGTGCTGCTGTGGAGGAGATATGGGCATACACTGCTAGAGATTTAGAAAATCATGGTGTAGGAACTGGTCATATAAATAAAAATGTTGACCCTCAATTAGCAAGATTGCTGGGTGTCAGAAAGCTCCCAGATTTTGTTGCTGTTATCAATGGAAAGTTATATCACTATAGTGGGTCAATTAGTGGTGAAAATCTGAAGAATTTTGTCAGTGGGCTTTTTTCAACATGCCACCTTGTTCCCGAGGTATGCAACTATTTGTACTAGTTCATTATAAATAGATGACAAATTATGTTTTAATTAATGCCCACCATTTCCCCCTTGACATGTAAAAGTGACAGCTGCCATTAATTACCAACTAAGAAAAACAACAAACTTATAAGTGCCATTAATCCATTAAGCTTTTAACATGTAAAATTGCTTGGTAATTAACCTTGTACATGGCATTTATATACTTGTGCATGTAACACAATTGGATATAACCAAAATTAACGTGTTTTTTTTTCTATGTAGGTAACAGACTCTAATTTAAAACAATTTCTTGATACCCAGTATGAGAACAAGCCTCGAGCCTTGCTGTTTACCACCAAGAGAGAACCACCACTGTTATTGAAGATTGTAGCATTCAAATACCGACATTATGTGGGTGTTGGTTATGTCCAGGTCTCCAAATCTGAAGAAATGAGAGCAAGGTTTGGAGCTGCAAAAAATGAACCTACATTTATGATATTTAAAGAAAATATTTCAGTACCTCATCTTTTACTCCAGGTAATATTGCCATTATTTGATGTCTTTTTTCACAGACTAAAGCTTGTCTTTATAAATAATTTTGCCTTTTGGTCAGTGAACATTTCCTGTTATTAAGTACAGTTTGGTTGCTTATTAATGGTAAACAAGTATCCTCTTTTTGAGCTCAAAACAATCTGGCATAAGACATAGCGAATAGCAAAGTAGTTATTTTTAGTAGGTGTCATGCATTGAGGTTAATGAGCTAAAGTTTTATCCATCTTTGAGAAGAAAAATATTGATTAAAAAATTTCATCTGTTTTTTTCTCAGGCATCGGATTTACAAAATGGAGTTTTGGATGACAGCATTTCTAATAATTTATACCTTCACTTTCCACGTCTTTCTTCACAAGAAATGTTTGAAGCTCTCTGTCCTGCTGAACGATTTCCTTTAAGAAAAAGGTACATATTTTATTGAAGTTAAGTCGTGAGGTTCTACCTTGCGTGTCTTTTTTTCCGTATTGGAATATTTTATTATTTTACATACCTAATGATTAGAAAGAGACTAGATTTACAAAAAACTAAGAAAATGTATTGACAACAGATTGATAACAAGTTAATTAATTTGTCAAGATGTTACAGTTTCAACAGATCTTCTAATAGAATGTTGGGGGAGTTTTTTGTGGACGAAAATTCAGAGAAAAGTAGACATGTTTTAGAGTGATATGCCAAAATTTAAGAACTTTTCCAATAGCTGTTTTCCGAGACTATACCATATATGGTACCGGTACCAATTTGTACCAAACTTTATCAACCACGTGTGTTTTTTTCTTTCACAGTTTATGTGTAATCCTGTTCATAAGTAGAGTACCATACCTTCAACACTCACTACCCAGTATGACAAAGGATAATTCATGGAGAGCAAAGAGAATTCGTTTTGTCTATGTTAATCCAGCCGCACAACAGGCATTTGAAGGTGCCATTAAAATGAACGAAAAATCAAGAAGTGTGTGTAAAAATAAGCTCATGTCTAAAAAGGTTGGTGAAACATTGATTCTAACATTTGTATTTGGTGTATTAGCATATACGAACTTACAACTTTGTTTATTACAAACTTACTACCTGACAGCCCTGAGAGAATGCTTCGACGAAGAAGATCCGAGGACATGGAAGACTATACGTCTGAAGTGTAACACTAGTCGTTACTTACGTTCTGAACTAACTTGTTGTTTTTAGTCTCCTGTCCATGTACTGTATGTTATATATTCTGTACTGTATGTGTATTTTTGTATAGGGCCCACAGTAATTGGTTTACACTGTTGTGGTGTCCCTGCCATTTTTGTCCATGTTTATTGTCTAGATGTCTATTTGCTGTTCTGTTAAGTGTTTTTGGCAAAGTTTAATAAATAAATAAATAAATACGACCAGCAAATAGAAAAAGTATACGTAATATCTGCAATTATTGCAGCACATGGTAGAAACTGTGTCCGCGAGTGAATGTTTCACTTTATATATGCAGATACAATGTTGGAAATTTAAAAGTCAAACCCGATCTAACATCTTCCAACGTCAACAATCCCAACATACTGTAGCAGTGTTCATACGAGGCCAACATGTTGCACAAAACTTGACGGTAAATCACTACACGAAAACGAGGCGCTTAAGCAAGAGTGCAATAAACAGTACAGTCTAAAATACAAAACAATAGATACTCCGAAAATTGAAAGCATTTTGAAAAATTTATTTCGACGCTTCGAAATAAATTTTTCAAAATGCTTTCAATTTTCGGAGTATCTATTGTTTTGTATTTTATCAAAATACTCAGTGGTTCCCGTAATTTCAGTACAGTCTATTAATGAGTTATTGATTAGCTTAACCAGTCAATGCATTTTTACCAGGTTGCCATATTATGGCGTGTTAAAGATAATGAAGTTAAGTACACTTGGTTTGAAAACGGTTGGTGTGGGCCCAAGGACGTGACTCGCCTCGCTGACCTGTTGAATGATATACAAGAAGGAGAAATTGAACTAGATATGAATGCTGTGGTTCCAGAATTATACGGCGAACATGCTAAGGTATACTATAGTTACTGTTATATATATATAGTTATGATAATTGACCATTAACCTCAAATATTAGCCTGAACTAGATTGGCAATGCATGGACAGTGCATTCCTAGTTGTCCCGAACAAATATACCGTATAAACCGATCCAAAAAACGGTTGTCATTCTTTTCCCCCGAAATTAAGGGTAATCATTGCCGCCTTGTAGACTACACCCAAAATAAGTACCTTTCCTAAGCTCGCATTAACGAGATATTCTTGATATACTATTTCAATTTTAATTTTCTAATGTAGAATGTTCTTGAACAAGTAGTAGATTTGTGGCACGATGTGGGGTATTATTTCATTCACTATATTAACTGGTAAGATGACTTGATGTTGAAGAATTTTAGGATCCTGAGATTTAGGATGACTTAAGGCAAAGATGCATGAGCTTATATGATTCTTATACAATAAATGCCAGCATTAAATCGTATGTTTTTATTCCAGGTCTGGTCACTTGCCATCCTTATCTTTGGCTGTTACATTTGGTTTTGTCTTTCTTATCGGCTTTGTTTTCCCATCCAGGACGTAAGTACCTTTTCTAAAAATTGGATGAGAAGATTACATGGTAATCTCGAGCTCATAATGAAATTTTTGTTCAGTGAGAAAGACTCGACAAAATCCGAGACCAATGAATCGCAGACAACAGTAGATGTTTATGGATTAGTGCAGTTAAACTCGGCTACTCAGGATAAACTTCTACACCAATGTCCACAAGGACAACTAGTTGTCATTCTCTTGTCTGATGCGACTTCAACATCGGAAGCCCGTCGTTCACCAATTGTACAGATATTTGCAAACGTGAGCCGGTCTTATCAAAAGTAAGTTTTGTTCAATACTACCTTATAAAATTACAACATAATACAACATGTATTACTTCGTTGTTGTTGAACACTCTGTGGAGTTGTTATGGATACCTAGTAACGTTCATACAAAGCTCACTTCCCTTGTGGTCGTTTGAGCGCTCTGGTCCCTTTACACTCTGTGCATGTCTGGTGCGTTGATGCGGTCGTGTTGTACCACATGCGCTTGGTGAAAGCAAGCTCGTGTATATAAATGATGGTATCACGTATCTAGACGCTGCACTGATGAGGCGTAAATCTATATGATGTTGTATACATAATTAATTGAAATGTTATTTAATACTTTTTAATGCATTTAACAATTTTATCAGTTATTGAAAATTAAAAATTAACTGTACGTGGTATGGTTTCTGTTATAGAGAAAATATTTTTACATTTGGTTGGTTATCAATCCCAGAACACATTGCGTGGTGCAATGAGGTGATGAAGGTCCAGACATTTGGCGAGATCACTGCCGGGACTGTGCTTGCCTTAAATGGGGCCAAGAAATATCTTTCAATCTTTAAAATTATAAAATCTCGCGAACAGGACGCGGGGAGTGTGTTTGATGACTCGGAAGAAGACGAGACAATGTATTCCCGAGAGGATAACGAGAGTTCGACGATGGTTTTCCGAGAGGATAAGCGGACACAGAAACGAATTGCTGACGAGCTAGGCCGACAATTTCCGAGGTGGATTGAAAAACTTTTGGAAGGAATGGTAACAAGAATGAAATTTGACAGTTGGCCGAGGCTAGAGTGCGATAAATAAATTATGAATTCCTAGAAACTTCTATTAGGTCTTTTCACCATGGTTGTTCCAAAGCACGTTCAGCAATAACCGTGGGTTAAACTTAACCCTTTGCTTTGGTTTATGTGAATATGAAACTTTAGAAAATGAAACTTCTGATGATCCAGACAAGTGACAGTGTAATGAAACTTCTGATGATCAGTGATAGTTAATGAACAAAATGTTTACCTCAGCTGAGTTCTAGGACAATTAGTAGAACTAACCAGAACACACTAACCTAAGGGATGGGACTTTTTCCCGTGTAGGTAAGGTACAGGTTGTTTGAGAGGGGTATGATAGAACATGGAATCCGTTCGCTTCATACAGTTCATACACATACATTTTTTAAGGTCGTGTCATTGCTATTTTCGTCCATATTCTCGTTTAGCAAAATTTAAAAACCAACAAAATTCATGGTTATATTTAAACTCTATGCATTTACAATCTTTCTTGTCCGCCTATATAAATAATGTTAACAGTCTTGAAGTTTTTTCAAAAATTTAAATTAACTCTGCAGCTAGGTGTATCAAAATAAACGCAATTCATCTTTTGTGCTTAATAACTTTCGAAATACTATTTCTAGTTAAACGCTTTTAGGCTTACTTCAAAGCCTGTTCTTTTCTCTTTCAAACAAACTATTATCCTTGTCTCCAATGCTAGTAATAATTGCACAGGAAAAGATTTAGTAAAACCTATCATTTTTAGTTGCTGTTTAATTATGCAAGTTTACTATGTTATTGTTTAGTCGGTTTAAATGTTAGAATTTTCTTCTTTAAACTTTAATGTTGTCGTCACTACATCTGGAAAACCACGTAAGAACAAATTAAAAGGATTTTAAAAGAGACCAGGTTGTTTGAAAATCCTAAACGAATGCTAAAAGTCGTCAAAACATTCTGGTGTCTGAGCCAGAGTGTCATCGAATTGCAATGTAATGTAAACAGAAATTATAGCAAGTTGATGTCAGTCAGCTTAGATGGTCCAAGCCAAAATTATATCGCATTTGAAGTTTCAAACTGAGTTAAAAATAGTGGAAGAAAAGCCGTAATTATACTTAATTATACGTAATTATACTACTATAATCCATTTAATAAACTGCAACATTTTTTTGTTTTAATGAAAAAATCAGTTATTTTCATGAGAACGATTTTTTATTCCATCTCAATTTTTTTAATCTCCAATCGCAATAACGTAAAGTATTATTAGCCGCGAACCAACGAGTCAAATTTAAGAAACCACCCACTGTTAGAAAGCTGAATGGCTACGCTTTAAAATGAATGTAAACTTTAACGTTTTCGTCTATTATTTGTTTAGCAATTTACATTTCAGTCGAGGATTGCGCTTTTTTTGATACACCCTGTATATAGTTTTTCCTCAAAAAACCACAACAGTCTGTTTCATCCGTATAGGAATCATCAGGTGGTAGACTACAGACGGTACCGTTTCGTATATATATATATATATATATATATAAGAGACAAGCTTGAGTTACTTCGTTTAAAACATTTATTCACAACAAATTTGTTTCGTATGGCAAGCTGGGCTTGCCACACTCATCAGGTGAATGGTCTAAACGAATTAAATCTAATTAAATCTAATTAAATAAAAATTTAAATCTAATGGTTTAAACGAAGTAACTCAAGCTTGTCTTTTATTTGCTCTACTTTTGTATCGAGCACTCTATTCTTATGATTCGACACTCAATATACTTATTGACATTCGCCTATATATATATATATATATATATATATATATATATATATATATATATATATATATATATATATATATATATATATATATATATATATATATTAGTTTCGTTTATATATATATATATATATATATATATATATATATATATATTATATAGTTATAAACCAACTTTCGAGGTTTATAACTAACTTATATCACATTATTTTGTGGAGGTTTTCTAACATATTTTGTCATTATCAAAAAATTTTTTATGAAAAATTCTCGCGTTTTGTCAAAAAGTTTGATGTAATTATTTATTCAAGGTATATTAGCTAGTTATAAACCTCGGACGATCAAAGAAAACCGACACAAATGTGATATAAAAGCTATTACACTCAAATAAGTTTTATTATTTTGAGGAAAGGCTAACTTAGATTTTGATATACAGCCCTAAAAATGTCATGTAATATTACGTGAGATACGAACGTTTGAATGTGGCGCACGATTTAAAAATGAGTAAAAAAATGAGAAACATGGCTGATCAAATTTATATGAAAACAAATTTCCATTTTAATTCTACAAAAATTAACAATTTCAATTTTAGCATTTCAACTCAACTTTAATTTTGGGTAATGTCCTATAGTATAAGTTAACCTTTCGTGTTTCTTGGGAAGCGAAATATCAACATTTAAAAACGGTCGAAAGCATATTTGACGTCCTTTGGGAGTTCGTATTATAAAGTTATTCGTCGTTCGCCTTTCGAATATGCCTCGATTAACAAAAGATCAAAGAGTTTGGGTTTTATGGCTTCCCGTGCAAAACATTGTATACGTGCAAGAGGACAATTGCATACTTTCTATGATGAATGAATAAATGTTTATCCAACAATTATATTTTCCATTCGTTCTTTTGGCCACAATAAAACTATATAATCAAGTTTAATTTAACCAAATAATATTTGATAGGCAAGTATATGCAAATTTTTAACATTGTCAAATATACTTATTCGATTTAAAACATCGATAGCTCAGTAAATATTGCACTGATATTCCAATGTTATATGTCAAAATCAAGTTAGCCGTTTCTGAATACAATATAACTTATTTGAGTGCAATAGTTTTTATCGTTTTTACGTTACATTAAATCAAACAGCGCAAGTTTTTTTGGGACACCCGGAATATATATAGTAATTCACGCGCGTTTGGCGAGAACATTTGCGTAATAATTATATGTATAGATATTACGATTATTTCATGGCACAGCAAAGAAAGTCACTTTAAAATGTACGATAATTTAGACATATTTATAGTAACAACATAAGGCTATCATCACCAACATTATACAACATCACAATCTCTTTGAACAGCTATATGCCCTAAGTTTTTTCAATAATATCAAAGTATTCTACTTAGTGCATGAGATATACATTTTGGTAATCGGACGTAGTGTGCTAATGGCTGCATGCATTCCCCGAGCTTGTTTATATAAGATCAATTAAATTTACTAGATAGTCCACCGCGACCTGGCAGCGAGAAATGTGCTTGTTGGTGACGAAAATATTTGCAAAATCTGTGATTTTGGTATGGCCAGAGCCGAAGGGAAATATGAGAGAAAATCTCAGGTTTGTTATATAACAATTGACATAAAATCAGTATGTGTCTTATTCATGAAAAAATACCTCTCTAACATAGGCGTACCGGGCGGGGGGGGGGCGGGGTGAGGGGGGGGGCGGTAGCCCCCCAGTTTGTTGGGCAGTCGGGCAATATTCAATCAACAGTCGGGCAATTTTGTTTGTGTTTTTTTAAAAAAATGGGACAAATTCTGTCTATTTAGTCGGAAATTCAGTCAATTTTGTGGTCAATTTTGTGTTGTTTGGAAAATTTGTGTGATGTTTTGAAAAATTTAGGTGTGTCCGGAAAATTTTTTTTGACAAAATTCTTTCCGCCCCCCTAATTTTTTCCTTCCGGTACGCCCATGCTCTCTAATGTCAATCAGGCAATCTTTATGCCAGGATTTTAAAAAGTATAGTACCAAAGTTATCATCAGCAGAAGCCCAACCCCAAGAAAATATATTTGAGAGGACATTTGAACTTAAACTGATAACGCGCGTCTTACCTAGGCACGTCTTCCAGTCAAATGGATGGCTCCTGAAGATTTATTTCACGAAACCTGTACAAGCATGAGTGACGTGTAAGTAAATACATTTAATTAAACTAATTAAAATTTTTTCAAAGATTTTTATTTATAGCGCAACTGTTATTGTTAAATATTCGAAAAGCGGGAGCCATGTTCTTTTAATATTTTAACTACAGTAATATTGACTTTAATTTTCATAAAGCCTAGTTCTCATTCATCGCAAACTGTCACCGACGATCGGCGACGCTTATCACCGATGCTCGCCGATCGCGAATGCACGAAAGTTCTCATACATCGATGATCGTCGCAGATGACAGTCAATGTGTTTCGAAATTTCTCACCAAGGCACAAAATGGCCCCGTTCAACGTAAAGTTCATGATTTCTGTCAAACTTCAGTCGATTATTTCCTTGCTTGTTGAGGAAAAAACAACTTTTACTCATTTCTCATAGGTTTTTCAAGCAGGTGGCAGTCGGCGATGGTCGCAAGAAACAAACTTTTTTGTTTCCTGCGATGTCATCGCCGATGGTCGGCGACGATTACGGACAATCGGCGATATAATTTTTGATGTGTTCTCATAAATCACAAGCGGTCGCCGACGTCGCAAAGCTCCCATCGCCGACGGCTTGCGATGAATGAGAACTAGGCTTAAAAAAAGAAAAATCTGACCTTGATATATTAAACGACAAACGTCTAACAGAGCTACAATAACGTCTGAGGAACAATTGCATAAAAAGTCAAGATTTTGGGGCATCTCGCTCGATAGAACTGAATGTACACTAGATAGGATTTTTCTAATGGAACTTTTGAACGTAAACTTGTATACAACTCATAATTACATGCATGCTGAACCAGGACATGAGGACCTATATAAAATTGCATTTTTCCGCCGCTGCTTCCGGTTAGGTCTAAAAATTGTGTATAAATTTCCATTCGGAAATTTGTTCTACAAAAGTCCAATCTACATTCAGTTCCATCAAAGCGAAAATCTTCAACATTTACCTATTTACCTAACTGGCACGCATATACAAGAACTTGTCGTTAATCAACGGCGACTACCCTTCCTGAAATCAACCTTGTTGATTCAGAGCAGTCGATGAATTAATAATAAAAGCAGTTTAAAAGTACATTCGCTTTTGCAATCTGAAAACCACAGGATTCAATCGCCCTTAAATATTTTGAGATTAGTGCCATTTTTTAGATACTGAACAATTTTTTTTCAAGTGGTACTTTTACATGACTTTTTCATGCAGGCTTTGCGCTTAGCTATATAAACGGATTTACCATCTCTGATATGACGCAATGGTTTTATTTATCAGCCTGTATATCAGGGTAAACATTTTTTACTTTGCACAGGTGGTCTTATGGAATTGTACTTTGGGAGATATTTACCATAGGTAGGAAGATAACAAAATTATTGATACGTTTTGCTTATAACTACATGGTGTAGAATTTCATACTTCCTCCCTTAAAAATGTAAATGAAAATCACTTCTTTTTGTATAAATAACGCAGGGGATTCTCCATATCCTGGTCACAAGGGAAAAGAAGTTGTCAATTTACTTGAAACTGGCTATAGAATGCCCAAGCCGGAGCACTTGTCCAATAACGTGTAAGTTCTCATAAATGTTCTAAAAATTAATGTTCATTTGGTCGTTTTAATTGACTGTTGTTGTTTCTTATTCCGATTGCTGTTTTCGTTGTTGTTCTATTAGCATGTTGTAAAAGACGGACTGGACTGGACCGGACTGGACTGGACCGGGAAAACGCGGACTGAGTCCGTGTTTTACAAATCGCGGATTGAAATTGTAGAACACGGACTGGACTGGACCGAGAAAACGCGGGCTGTTTTTACCGAGAAAGTTCAATGTTTGTGATGATCATGATCATTTGGTGGTT